GTCAAAACTCTAGCTGGAACTTAGATAAAGATTCGCCTTGAGCGCAAATTGCATGCAAATTGACATAAAATTAATAAAATCCGCAAATTGCATCATTTTTCGAGGGGAAAGTTAGCTGCAGAGATGAATCTCGACGTTCTGAAAGGGCTGGCCAGTAGAGCTCTAATTAGCTGGAAACTCTACCCTCTACCCTACGAACCTTGAAATACTGTACGAATTTGTTAATTAAGTCAGGGGGTCGCGCGACATTACCGCGCTTCGACAGCTCTGGCGGCGATTTCTAACAACAAAAAACATTTATAACATAAAAGTGCGATAAAATCTTAATGAAACATTGGATTTTGTGCAGTGATTGGACAAAGAGGAAGATGGCAAAGGGACGTAAACGTTCCTCTAATGCAAATGTAATGAGATGCGACTGCTGAAGTAGAAGAAGAAATACTAATTAAAGGGTGATTAAATAAGCGTTCTAAAAATTAAGTATTGCATACGACGGAAATGTAAGAGGTTATCTTAAGTAACAAACAGTAAATAACATACATATACACTAAATTAATTATTAATATTCTATGTAATTAAGTATATAATAATTAATTAATTAATTAAGTATATAATAATTCGAAAAATGCTCTGTGTTTAAATGTTTAATTAAAATAGTTAACATGATTCTATAAGCAAACTAATAAAACCACATACATTTTTGTTTTTCAGAAATCAGAAATTTATTTATTAATGTCGCTGCTCGCCAATATAAATATGCTTAAATCATATATATATCTATGTATAAAGGAGAGTTGTGTAAAACTGTTCCGAGACTTATAGCTTGATATGTGCTGGACAAATTTTCATGGTTTTTGATTTGTTGGATTTGTCTCCGCCACGAGTAGGATAGTAGATCTTAAAAATACAGAAAAAATTTGACGAATACTTGAAAAACGAGGTTTTTTCCCTAAATATTCAAATTTCCATTGATACTCAGAAAGCTTGATAACAGTGACAGTTTTCGGTCCTGCTCTCATATTATACAATAGTATAGAAGTAAATAAACAGATGTAGTCAGTCAGTCTACGGCACAGCCTCAGGCGAATCTGACTATTCATATAAAAACAGCACATTTGATAAAAATAATACGCGTGCGTACAGAAGCTAAATATCTCGAAAGTTCAGGTATTTGTTTGTCTCAAACATAAATTTGTGTAAATTGTTTATATTTATATTTCTCGATTGTGTTATGTGGTTTTGTGAGGGCATATTCAGTGTTACTATTGATAAAAATGCCGCGTCCTAGAAGATTTAATCCTTCCCGGCGGACCCATAATGCAATTAGGCATCGGAATATCGCGAGTCAATTATCTGACGAAGAACGAGAAATCGCCTGAGAAAGGCGCCGCGTTAGTACCCAGCAAAGAAGGGCCTTCATTCGTGCTTCTCAAAGAGAGGCAGTCCGTGAAACGGTTAGTAGAGAGTAGCTTATTAGGGGTTCTAAAATACAATTTTTACTGTATTTGTTTCAGGTGGGGAAACTACCAAGAAGGTTAGTTCCATGAATTATTACGCATATTGTTTGATGATTCGTGAAAATTCTGACAATTATCTATATTAATATTTGTTTGTATTATTGTATTACGTTCATAGAAGCCTAAATTAGTTCAGCTAAAAAGTAACACGACAATACTTACTGATTTTGATACAAAAATTTGACAGCTTCGAAATTAAAGAACTTTTAGGGAAAATAACGTATTTTTCAAGTATTCCTATATTTTTCAGTATTTTAAAGATATATTCTGCTATTCGGGGCGGAGACAAATCTAACAAATCAAAAACCATGAAAATTGGTGCAGCAGATCTCGAATTATAAGTTTTGTAATAAAACTCGACTTTGTTTCATATATATAGAGACTGTTAGGCGGTACGAAGTTCGCCGGGACAACTAGTATTCTATAAATTCGTATTTTTAGAGATACTACTACGATACTTCCTTGCACATCTGTTGTGCATTACAGTTTCTTTAATATGTATTTATTATTATAATTGGTTATTCTACAAATTGTGTTTTTGGTTGATATTACTTTTTTATTATTGTAAATATTATTAGTCAATATGTTACGAATCATATGCTATCACCTTGTTCACACTCACAGCAGTTGTAATTCCTTACAGCCTTGTTGGGCAAGGACAACTAGGGGCTTGGTGAAAATTGAATAAACTGTAACGTATTGTTGCACGCGCAGCCAATTGCGAGCACAAGATGAATATCCCAGATATAAAACGAGAGCTAAGCGTTGGATTTCCTATTGACGACCTTCGTTTAACGCTCTGTGAAACTGGCCACCAGGCAGATGACGCTATCCAACCCCACCTAGCCTTTGCTAATGTTACAACTACAGCTACCCTAACTTCAGATTCGCATAAATTAAGTGGAAGCAGCAGCATCACCATCAGCATTGCCCCTCAACCTCATCCTCAGCCCATCGTCTGATTCTCATGGCGCATTTATTTTGCGTGACTTTTGTTGTCAGCTGCACGTCTTGCCCCTTTTAAGCGTTGTCTCTGTTGTTGATGCTGTCGTTCGCGTACTTTGCTCTCAGTTTCCTGCAGCAGTAGCCAATTTAATTGCAATTTTTCCTTCACCCAGCGCCAAAGACAAATAACCAAAGCTAATAGATCATGTCATCTTGTCAACAAGTTTTACAATCTAATTGCGAACATCCAACAAGAGCTAACAAAGACGTTTACTTTGAACTTCAATTGAAAGAGCGACAATTTCTTAACATCTATTTAAAATTCGATTTTTGTTTAATATAGCTTATCAATTAATTCAATTAATATAGCTTATCCAAATTATAGATGAATCAAATTGTAATTAATGCTAAGAACTTATTTAAAGTTCTTGGCAATTTATTTATTGTATTTTTACGGAATAATCTTTCGTGGCAGCTCCTTGAAATTAATTGGTGATCGACTGATCAACAGCCCGGCTAGCTCAGTCGGTAGAGCATGAGACTCTTAATCTCAGGGTCGTGGGTTCGAGCCCCACGTTGGGCGACAATTTTTCTTTTGTTCTATTTTCAATGCTTATAAAATATAAAAAATAAGGGTTTTTATATAAGTTTTTCCCAAAACAATTTCCATTGTATTAAAGATTATTTTTAAGTTGAAAAGGATAATTTTTCCTGTACTCTTAAATGGAAAAAAGTAAAACACAACACTTTTGTATACCGTAAATTGATTGGAAATAAAATGTCCCATATAAATTTAAAAAAAATTAACAAATAAATAGAAATGATCATACATGTATATTTAAGATGTTTAATTGTATAACACAGTTCGATGAATTTAAAAAATAATAAAAAGTTGAATCTTGCGATCCTGCCAGGAGTCGAACCTGGAATCTTCTGATCCGTAGTCAGACGCGTTATCCATTGCGCCACAGGACCTGCGAAAAATTTGGAGCACAAATATTTGTATACCCTGAGCCCATTTTCAATGGGAAATCAGGGTATAATGGTTTTGTTGAAATGTATGTAACAGGCAGAAAGAGGCGTGGCAGACCCCACAAAGTATGTATATTCTTGGGCGACGAGCTGGGTTGATTTGGCCCTGTCCGTCTGTCTGTCCGTCCGTCTGTCCGTATATCAGAAGATATAAGAGCTAGAGACTTCAATTTTTTTTTTAAATTGTCCGTAATTACAGCGCGGATATCGAGTTTATCATTAAAAATCGATAACTCATCCCAATCTTTTTTATCGATAAAAAACCTTATCGAAAACCAGCTATAAAATTATATCTCCTACACCTTTATTGCTAGAGTCTCCAAATTTTTTATTTATGATTATATGCAATTTATGCAATTTCCGTTTTTGTTAAAATTTACCCCCCACCCCTATATCCACCCCCTCACCCTCACTTTTGTAAAAAGCGTATTTCAAATACTAGAGACTTGTGCTTTGACAAATACTTGCATCCATCCATGTTGTAATCATAATCTGAAAGTTTCATGAAGATCGTATGTCCACAAAGAAAGTTATTAAACAATTAAGTTCTCATAGTAAGCGCGCACTGTAGCCCATGCGTGTTTATGCGTGGGTGCTTGTGTGTATGTGTGTGTGTAAATGTTTGTTTGTCGAGCAGTCTCGACTATAGCTTTCTTACTTGTTCTATATTACCATATTCTGGCTGTTATATACAGTACGTCCCCTTTAAGAACTTAAGCCAAAGTATGTTTGCCCGCTAGCAAGACCTTGCAAACAAATGTAAGAAGTTACTTTTATGCTGTCTTGGCAAATGCAAATGGCATGCCATTCAAACAAACAGAAATCATATTATCCATACGCCCGTCGCCTTTCGAGTTTCGCTATTCGCCATTCGCCATTCCCCTATTCCTTTAACCACCAAAAGCAATTTTTGATTTTATATCACGAAGCGAACCCCACTCGAAAAGTAAAAATGCAACGATCTGTGCTTGCACATTTCGTTCGTGTAGTCCAATCCCAATGGAACTCGTAAACAGGTTTAGCCAGCACGCAAAAGGAACATACAAGAACGTAGCAAAGGAAATGCACGCTGTGCGAGGGAAATGATGTAAAGCAACAATGGAGGGTGCACCCTAATATCCCAGCTCTGGAAATTGGCAATCCTTGACCCGTCATAACGTTGCCTCCCCAGCATCGACTTGCTTTTTCCTTTTGACAGCTCAGTTAAATGAGATATGCTTTTTACATTTTTTCGATAAATTTCGAGGCACCCCAGCTTTCGCAGCAGTGGATAACATTATTAGCGCAAAACTTTGCCATAAAAATGGCAAACGGATTCACGCAACGCTTAAAATTGAGATTTACTGTAAGCGAAATTTATAACAAACGAAAGAAAAAATCCCCTTCAGCGACAAATTTAAGGAGGAAAACTACTTAAACTTCGAGCTTATCAAATGACATTGATGAATGCTTCGGGCAATTAACGTGAACAACGCCGCAGCTGTATAAAAGGGCAGGGTCTGTTACTGCATCGTTCACAAAATGAAGTCTTTAGGTATCGCTCTTCTCTGTCTGCTCGGCACACTGGCGTGGGCTCAGGAGCTGGAGAAACTAGTTCAGGTTGAGGAGCCCATACCCGAGGAGGAAAATCCGTTGCCAATTTTTCTTCCAACATATTCCACGGACGATTTTTCACTATCTGCATCTTCCAAAGTAATTAATGAAAACACGTTTAATATTATATTTGATTAGAAATGAATTATATACTATTATATACTTTCATAATTACAGCTAAATTGGTTCCAAGCTGAAGCCGCCTGCGCTTCTCAAGGAGGCTACTCCTTGGTCACGTTAGATAGTGAAGACAAGCAGAATCGTGTATTCCTATTTTTGCTCAACTCGGGTTATTTGAATCTGCTTAATGAGCCGATTTGGACGTCAGGCTCGAACCTGGCAAGCGCTTCTCTATGGAGTTGGTTCAGCACTGGAGCTGCCTTCAAATATCGCCATTTCCAGACTACACCCAATACCTCATACCGCTGTCTCGGCCTTAATGCACTTGACGGTTACTGGATTCCTCAAGATTGCAACGCTCAGCGTTATTTCGTATGCGAAAAACGATGCCAAGAAATTGAATGAGCATATTTCTTTACTATGCTAATCTATAAAAATATATTAAAAGGTTCTGATTGTAAAAATTCTAATCTTTTATTTGAATTGTATAATGGTTTTGATTAAACATATGTAATAGGCATAAAATATATATTAATCTTGAAGGGCGGTGGTCCGAGTCGGTTTACTCTGTCCGTCTATCTATCGTTCATCCGTATGAAATTGAATTGAATCAACCATATCGCATTGTGGAAATGTGGTCGTCACTCAAATGCACGAAAAATCTTTTTCAAAGTATAAATGTATAGAATATTTAAGCAGTGAATAACTCGGAAATATTTAATAAAATACAAATAATTTTCAAAACAAATATTTTGTAATAAAAAAGAACAATAAAAAGTTAGTCTTCAACAGATGCCAACAACACGCGGTGTTCCCAAGCGGTCCCCCATCTAAGTACTAACCGCGCCCGACGTTGCTTAATTTCGGTGATCGGACGAGAACCGATGTATTCAACGTGGTATGGTCGTTGGCGAAATACACATGACTGAAAGTTCACTATAAATGTGGTATGAGAGAACAAGCAGTTGGGAATTTAAGTACAGCAGTTATAAGACGAAAATGAACTGATTTGATAACAGCTAAAGTTGATGAGAGTTTGCCTATATTGTCGAACGATAAGCAAATCCATTTAAAATCTCTTTCATAACACAAATTTATATAAAAATCAAATCAATGAATCTGAAATATTTGACAAAACATAGAAAAAAAATTTGTTGTAATACATTTGTGCTTTTTAAAACAACAAAAAAGTTGTCAACAGATGCCGATGCCAACAACACGCGGTGTTCCCAAGCGGTCCCCCATCTAAGTACTAACCGCGCCCGACGTTGCTTAATTTCGGTGATCGGACGAGAACCGATGTATTCAACGTGGTATGGTCGTTGGCGAAATACGAACGACTGAAAGTTCGCTATAAATGTGGTATGTGAGAACAAGCAGCTGGGAATTTCAATAACATTCGAAACTCTGTTATAAAATAGGGGTTGGTTTTCGAAAGAAATCATCCCTTAAATTCAATTGAACAGAGCACATGTATAGCACGAACATAGAGCGCATTGCATTTACTGTTAAAAATATCGTAAGGTATATATTTATATATAACAACAAAGAAACTAATTTTCTCGAATTCGAGTTTATTTAATATGGAGTTATTATTTTCATCGTTGTTTTTTTTTTTTTTTTTTTTTAACATATAATTTTTTTATATATACAAGGGATCGTTTGTTGAGTTGCACGCTCTTTCGCATATGAAGTAGTATTCACGGTAGCAATCCACACTGTACCAAGACTGATCCAATCCCATAACCATGCATCCCTCAGTCCCAATAAAATCCATTTGTGGCTCATTATTTCCCCATTTCTTATAGCCCAGAGGTATTCCAAGGCCTTGCCACGTCCATGAATTGAGATCCCCCAAGTTGCTGGCGCCAAGCCAGAAGCCTTCCTGTCCCAGCAGGTCTCCTGGACAAAAATTAATCCATTGATCGATAAACTACAAATATTAAATACAAGTAGATACCATTGGCAGCTATGCTATGTATCAGTAGGAGCTGCTGCTCGTAGTTTGTGACTGTGGCCAGAATCATATTGGATTTGTGGCATATTTGATTCGCCTGGAACCAATTAACCTAATAGAAAAACATTGGATTAGATATATGCATACATATTTGGAGCTACAATATCTTAGCCGTTCTTACCTTGCCAAAAGTTGCAACGATATATCTATCTTTGGCCGTCTGAAATTTCCCAAGGGACAAACAGCAAATAAGCAGCAAAAGTCGAAACATTTTGTCAAGAATTTGTTCTGGTATTTCTGTTGGGCGGTATTTATATTGACTCGATAAAAATCGCATCAGAAATCGTTCAGAAAGCAATTAGTAGCTAAAAGGTTTAACGAGGACACCCGTGGTTCCAGTAAAACTGTCCGTTTGAAGATGGCGTAGACACTTCATATTTGGTAATTTGCATAGTTTTTGAGCGTAAGCACTAAAATTTTGCAGTTAGGTTACTGTTAGCTAGTTCCATGAACTGACTAGAAATAAGGTGTCTACACCCAGTAGGGGCGTAGGAAATCGAGAAAAACTGAAAATTGAATTTTCTACAATATTAGAGCTAAACTTAGCTACTAAATTGCTGATGGGATGTGAATGAGTATTCCGGAGTCGGTAACGTTCGACTTCAACGTTCTTACTTGTTTTTTCATTAATCTTTATAGAACCATAATATTATCTCTTCAACTAATATGATTTCTTGTATATCGGAAAATGCATTTTCCCCGCCCCTAGTGGGTGTCAGAAAAATTTTAACACTTTATAAATCGGAGATATACACGAGTATGTGTTCCAAATTTCAAGTCTCAAATTTCATACGGACAGACGGACGGACAAGACGGACATGGCACAAAACCGAAATACTAATTCACTTTCGTGAATAAGTATAATAATTCACTTTCGTGAATGAGTATAATAAGGAGTCAAACGCATGAGTTATTTAAATCACTTTGAACTCTTTCAGATGACATTGATAAATATCCCGGACAAGAACTAACTGAAGTGAACTTTCTATACAATCTACATTTACCTACAATGGCAGTGGTCTATAAAATCAATTCGAAATTCTATTCTATTTCTATTGAACAGGGGAACAATGTAAATATATAAAAGTAATGTAAGTATTTGCACTAGGCTAACAGTTCTTTATAACAAATTTTTATTGGGTTATGACTGGCTGACTGACGGACGAAACCGCATTGCGCAAGTTAAATTTTTTAAGGACTTTAATGTATTCTTACATTCCAAAATTTCCTCTAATTTAATTATTAAAAGTTAGTTTCTTTAGTTTGAATAATTCGGTTCGATTAGAAAACACATAGTCTTCGTAGATTTTAACTTAAAAGCTAAATATTACTAGAAGTGTGTATAGCTTAATACCATTATCGAAGCTGTCATATATAAATAAATACACAATCAAATGAAAGTTCTGAGTTAAGTTACAATCAATATAAATTACATATTTTATTTGAGTTATAGGCATTGGTACCTAATAATTTATTATTATTTATTTATTAGCTAAAACACAAGAGACAAGTTATAAAATGGCTAATTAACTTAAATAGCTCAATAACCAAATATTGTTTCGGATGTCAAGTCTTTTAAGTTGCAAATTTCGTATAGCCGATGCTCCTATTTCGAATTAACGTAAATTGATATTCCATTGGAGAGCCGCTTTTTATTCGTGGTAATCTATACCTACTTAAAGAATTTTGCTGTCCTCAGCTCCCGACTGCAATGAATTAATTTTCTTTGCATAAAATTAGCTAGAGTATCTGATATTATTTTATTCCAGATAATGTTGACAGATAAGCTGAAAGTTATGTAATATATAAATGACCCTATCATATCGATTACAAAGTAATTGAAGATATTTATTTGCATAAACAAAATTTCCTCTTTTTAAAGCTTTTTTTTACGACGATACTTAAATATAATCTTACTTTGGAACTCATTACATATGATGATAAAATGGTCCTAACTAACTTATGAATGACAATGATGGATGCCTTACAAAATTAGATTTTAACGCTAAAAATTGCCTATAAAAGCAAATAGCCCGTGGAACTTTTCACAAAATGAAGTCTCTAGTTCTCTGTATTTTCTGGCTGTTCAGCGTTGTGGCATGGGCTGAATCTGGTTTAGAGCCGTCCACCAACATTGATGATGATGCTCAACCCATTTTAAATTATTTTACTCATAGTGATGCGGAATACGGCATAAGCCTGCACAAGGTACATGTAATTGAAAATTCGCTGGAGCAAATAACTATTTTTTTTATCATTATTCTTTCACATTTAGTTGACTTGGTATGAGGCACAGCTCTATTGTGCTGCACAGAAGTATGTTCTAGCCAACATTCCTTCATACAGTGCTCAGGTCGCCTTAACCCAATTTATCCAAGGATCTGGAATCGACAACCTTATGTTACTTACTAACGAACCCATCTGGGTCTCGGGTACAAATCAGGGACTTGCCAGCCAATACGTATGGCATAGCAGTGGAGCTAGGATTTATTATAAGAACTTCCTCAAGACCCCAACATCTGCTAACCGTTGCGTCGCAATTAATGGAATCACAGGCGACTGGACCGATGAAAATTGCAGAGACAAGCATTACTTTGTCTGCGAAAAACAAACATGCCCTGCATAACAACTCTATATGTGCATGTATTTTAAAATTCATTTATATCTACGGGCATAAAAGAAACTAAATAAAAAGTTTTCAATTACAATCAGAATAAGCAATATTTGCTATACTCTAGCTACATCTAAAAGGGAGTAAAAATTCCAGACAGTTTGGATTTATTAACCGGCAGTTAAGCTGGACAACAACAAAGGTAATTAGGTGAAGGTTATTTTTGGAATAAAAAAGTTGTTAACAGATATGCCAACAGCACGCGGTGTTCCCAAGCGGTCCCCCATCTAAGTACTAACCGCGCCCGACGTTGCTTAATTTCGGTGATCGGACGAGAACCGATGTATTCAACGTGGTATGGTCGTTGGCGAAATACAGGTGACTGAAAGTTCACTATAAATGTGGTATGTGAGAACAAGCAGCTGGGAATTTAAGTACAGCAGTTATAAAACGAAAATGAACTGCTTTGATAACAGCTAAAGTTGATGAGAGTTTGTCTATATTGTCGAACGATAAGCAAATCCATTTAAAATCCCTTTCATAACACAAATTTATATAAAAATCAAATCAATGAATCAGAAATATTTGACAAAACATAGAAAAAAAATTTGTTGTAATACATTTGTACTTTTTAAAACAACAAAAAAGTTGTCAACAGATGCCGATGCCAACAACACGCGGTGTTCCCAAGCGGTCCCCCATCTAAGTACTAACCGCGCCCGACGTTGCTTAATTTCGGTGATCGGACGAGAACCGATGTATTCAACGTAGTATGGTCGTTGGCGAAATACAGATGACTGAAAGTGCATTATAAATGTGATATGTGAGAGCAAGCAGTTGGGAATTTGAGACGAAAAAGAACTGCTTTGATAACAGCTAAAGTTGATGAGAGTTTGTCTATATTGTCGAACGATAAGCAAATCCATTTAAAATCTCTTTCATAACACAAATTTATATAAAAATCAAATCAATGAATCAGAAATATTTAACAAAACATAGAAAAAAATTTGTTGTAAAACATTTGTACTACTTAAAACAACAAAAAAGTTGTGAACAGATGCCGATGCCAACAACACGCGGTGTTCCCAAGCGGTCCCCCATCTAAGTACTAACCGCGCCCGACGTTGCTTAATTTCGGTGATCGGACGAGAACCGATGTATTCAACGTGGTATGGTCGTTGGCGGAATACAGATGACTGAAAGTTCGCTATAAATGTGGTATGTGAGAACAAGCAGCTGGGAATTTCAATAACATTCGAAACTCTGTTATAAAATAGGGGTTGGTTTTCGAAAGAAATCATCCCTTAAATTCAATTGAACAGAGCACATGTATAGCACGAACATAGAGCGCATTGCATTTACTGTTAAAAATGTCGTAAGGTATATATTTATATATTACAACAAAGAAACTAATTCTGTTAGATTCGAATTTATTTCTTGTAAATATGTAAGAAATCGCATATAAAATATTAAGTATTAATGATGAGAATCGAATCAAAAGTCTTTCAGAAAGTAATTAAGGTACATATACATATATAAATAACACATGTACTTGGTTTCTAGGAAAATACAAAATTTTTATTCAATATCAAAAAATGTTAAGACTTTATAAAGTTGTGTCCCATACTAAAACTTAAGAAATGCTCATTTCAGTTTTTTGTGTAGTCTGGAATTTAATGCTTAGACTAAGGATATAAATATATAATTATTCACTTTGTTTATAGCTAATATTATTTTAGATACACGCTCTATACAAAAATGCTTCCAATCTCTTCACTTAACTATAAATTAGTTAAAAGTAGATTTCGATTATGAAAACCCGAAGTCAGACTGAAATAAAAACTTAATGTTAAGCATTTATATAATGTGACGACTTACGATATATGACTTGCATTACTTTCGTTCTATGAAATGCACATGTTGCATACCTTAAAAGGCTAGTCGAGAATCGGACTAACATAAATATTCCAAACAATATTCCAACAAAATCATGACCGAACTGCGTCAATAAAAATAATTTTAAATTTTTGTCAAAATTATATACAATAAATTAAAATGAGGAACAAGCTAAGAATGGAAGAAAATATAAGCAGAGAGAAAAATGAATTATTCCCAAAATTGGATTTCTAATTTGAAAAATGTTATTAATTATTATCGGGGCAAGCTATAGATTAAGGCAATACATGTAATAACTATGCTTATGCTATGCGCAGCTCGTTGAGTTCAGGCAAAAGATCTATTTGAAAACGTAAGTTGACTACAAATTCTACTTCTCTTTCAGGCACATCACAATGATTTGTACTTTTTAATTGTTAACAAGGATAATTTTCGAATATGATCAATTCTCTAAGCAGTTTAGAGGCCAGAATTAAACAATTTACTTAACAATATTCCAGAAATATTTACAGAATATTACAAACATAAAATCTTTAAAATCTTCAAGGTATTCTTTAAGCCTGCTACTCTTTTGTAATTTGCAATGTCCGTAAAGTCTTGAGAAAGTCTTAAAAATTATTTGAAGGAAATTCAAAAATTCAAATTCAAATGATCAAGAAATATTAAGAAATGCTCAAAGACTATCAAGATTTTGTATGTGTTCAAAGCAACTCAATAATATTTATATGAAACCTCAATTATTATTCAGAAAAATTTCCAAGAGACTTCTGAAAATATTTAAAAACATAAACTGCTTAAGATAGTCTCTGAAAGCGAGAAATATAGCATAAGCACAGCTACTACCTGAAAACTAATTGAAAGTCAACATGATGCATTTATCTGTAAATATATAAATTATTTATAAGAGTCGCCTAAGCAAATTTTTTAAACTATGCTTAACTACGTTTGTTCATTGTATGTCCGCTAATAGCAATTTCAAGCGCTCGACATCCTGCTTGAGATGAAGAAATGTTAGTAATCCCCATATTGATATGTGGGCGGTTGATGCGTGACCTTGCTGCTTTGCTGGTAGAGATTGTGATGCGAGGAGGAGCGTTGGGCGAAGTTGGCGGCAACTGCGGCTGTTTCTGTATACGAATGCGATTGCGAATGTCGCTGAGTAGGCGAATGGGCGCGTCTAGCACGACGCTCCACGATGTTAGCCGGCCAGCGTTGATGGAAGCGCGTCGAGTCCTCCGACGAGCGACGGCGATGATACCGTTTCGCCGAACTGTTGGCCAGTGGAGCTGGACTCTGCTCGGACTGTTGCCGATAGCTGCTGTCGTCGCCGCTGCCAGCGCTAAGTGCCTGCTGGTACTGACGCCTCATTCGTTCGTCCAGCGACGAGTTGGGCGTGGGCGTGCGGAGATCGATGACGTCACCATGTGAATTGCGACGAATTGGTCGTTGCATGTCCTGGTCGTAGTTCTCATAGGGATTGCGTCGCTGTTTGTTCCGCTGATGCTGCTGCTCATGGGCATCGAGCCGCTGTCGCCACTCGGCCGCCGACACCTGCTGGCCATAGAGATCGGGCTGTGGCTGGAACTGGGCAGCGCCACTGCCATAAATATTCTGATAGCTTGACTGCCGCCAGCCTTTCTCAGCGGCAGCGGCATTATTTGCCAGCTGCTGGCGTCGCTGTGAGCGACTGGAACTGCTTTCCGAGGAGTCTTCGCCGGATGTGCCCAGGCCCTGGTCCTTCTCATCCCCGCCGTAGGCTTTATAAGGCGCACCCAGAAAACCCTTTGACCCATAGGCATAAGGTCCGTTCAGCCCCATGCTGGGATACTGCATGTAGTAGGACTGCGCAAAGGGTTTCTCCATCACATTTGAAAGCTTCATATCATCCACACTGTCATCCACCTCCTCTTCGGAGCCATCGTCACGACCCGTCCAAGTCAGCCAAGAGCCAGGTCCGAAAAGCGATAGCAACACAGGCAGCAAGAACAGTCCATGCATAGCGCCAAAGAAGATGACGAGGAAAACCATTTTGAAAAATACCAGAAAGATATAGCTCTGCGCTAGTAATAGAGCTATAATGCCCAAGATCGTCGAACTCGAGCCCTGCACTATGGGTAGTCCAAGCGAATGAAGTGCTTCACGTACGCGCGCCTTGGGACTGCGTTTCTTCGACGACATGTAGGTGTAGCAGATATGGGCGGTGAAGTCCACAGAGAAGCCAATGCACATGATTAGATTAATCATAGATATCGAATCCAGATTGACATCCCACAAGGCCATATAGCCAGCGACGCCCAGCTCAATAGATATGACGGAAAAGGCTACCCATAACGAGCAGAGGATGTTGGGAATGAAGATGAATGAGATGATCATCATAATGATCGCACCAATGACCATGGCCTGCAGTGAAACGGGGCGAACCAGCTCGAATTGATCGAAGAACACAAAGTATGGATGAAAGATGGACGCATTCAACGGTGAGTCCTTACATATTTTCCGCAAATCTCGCACCATTTCCTTTTCATGATTCGTATCCGTAATATTGACAGCTTGTATAAGGAATCTCGAGGCAATGATCTGTGTCTCATCCTGGTTTAGACGCACATCCAGTGAGAATGGATTGCCAGGGAACAACCAGTGGTCCTTGACTGCATCAATAAACGATTGTTCGTCATCGATAGTTTCATTTAGATAATCACTATTGCGTTCCATGAACGAGAGAAACGAGCGCAGCCATGATTCAGTATATAATGAAGAGGTTACATATGAGGTGTGCTCTAAAGTGCTTGTCAAATTCTCTATTTGTTCTTGTATTTCGGGATCTGAGTAATTCAGAGGACCTGCAATGATAACCTGTAAAGGAATTGATTGGATTAGCGGTTTTGAGCGTGTAAAATGTGGACGAAAGGCTTACCTGCATTCTGTAAGGAAACTCCCGATAGTAATCATCTTCACGATCGAAAAACTCCACAGAATAGGAATCCTCCCGTGACAATTTACGTCTCTCCAGTCCCTCTTTGATTTGTGTGACTCCATAACAAGCTCCAGCCAGATAGCTAGCGAAGGCGATAATAATAATTATCTTGCACCATTTGTTGTTGATGATCGCAGCCAGTTTGTCCTTGAAAAAGGCCATGAACATGTGGTCCTTGTTGTCGACGGGATTATCTGGATCATTGGGATCGATACCGCCAGCCATGATTGCCTTGTAGAGGAAGTTGCGTTTCTCTATAATATTAGATAAAAGTAGCTTTAGTCCAGTTGCCATTGACCTCAATTCCACGGATTGCTATCGACGTTCTTCTTGGCCGAGACTAGTTTGCTTTAAGTCTCATGATCAAGTTCATGTCTCAGCTGGTAGATGGTGAGCTGAATTAATTTCATTCTCTCTATGCTTGGCACTGAGCCGGTTGTTCGGCTCTAGCCATAGCCAACCAAGTTTTGTCGTCAGTTGATCGCAAACTACTAATTGTAGAGTGGGTAAAAGATCAAGAACAATGATGTGGCGACTCATTGGAACTGTCTGTATAACTTTGAAATTTAAAATTTGCTGAAAGTCGTGCAGAAATAGTTGGAATCTGATTTACTTGAAATTTCTGAAACTAATGTCTTAATTATATATTAAGGAATTCTTTATTAAATTGGAGTAGCTATTAGATTGAACAAGTATAGCGAAAAAGGTAGTTAAATATAGTTGAAACCACGTATATATAAATCAATGTATAATTTCTAGATATCTCCACTTACCTTTTATAGCCACCGACATGGGCTTCACTTTACAACCAAAGATAGCATGAAGATTCCTACGTTCCCTGTACCCAGATATCGCCATGCAGGCGGCAAAGAAAGTGATGTGCCATATGAATGTGAAGCAGACAGCAAACACTGAGTAGGTGCAAAAGATCTTAACCGAGCGAAAAGGGCTAATGATGCCAATCAGGAAAGAAATAAAGTCGGTGACTGATGTAATCGTTATCGAAACGGCTGCCTCGGACATCATATGCGCCATACGCTCATGGACGGGCATCTTGGCCGGAGTACGTCGCCAGCCAGCCAACATGACAAACGTATCATCGATGCCAATACCTATAATCCAATAAATAAATTCAGGTAAATGTCAAATTTTGAATATGTTCAAGGACTTACCAATCATTAGAAAAGGTGCTGCTAAATTAATTCCAATGAACTCGATGCCGCAGTACATGGCCAAGCCAAAAGCAGCCAAGGTGGCCATTATGGCTGAGATATTTCCCATCAGACCGAGAAAAGGTTTCGACCGTACCGCATCACCCATCATGCAAGTAATAATGCTAAAGTAAATCGAGAAAAACATTCAAAATGTCGCATATATTAGTCTTAAATATAGAAAATACATACCTAAACAAACCCATGAGCAGAAATGTAGAGCTAAAGTAAGGCACTACCGTCTTGGTATTCTTTTCCAATTCATGATCCAGAGTGCGCGAAGCGAAATAGGAAACCGAAATATGCTTGAACATGCCTGATTTTTCAGCCTTGCCCACGACTCTCAAAAATGTTTCTTCCCATTCACCGCCCCTAAAATGTGGGAATTCAATATTAAAGATGTTATATCCTTGACATTACTTGATTTTCTTTCTTACTTTGAATCCTGACGTTTTGTATCAGCAGTGACAAAGTAAACTAATTGAATAGCTGGCACACTTATTATATAATTATCCTCGGTTAATTTAGTGCCACCAAAGAATACTGGAAAGGCGTGAGCATCCCATGTCACAGGATTAAACATGATGGGAAATGTTAAATTCAATTGACCCGACTCGATCTGGGGAGAAAAAGAACTTAGTTGTGTTTATCTAGAAACGAGGTCGCACTCACATCATCCATCAGAGCATCCAGGTTTAAGATATCATTCTCGAAACACTCGTTTTCCCAGCGAGCACAAATATCCTTGTAGGTAAATGTGTCGCCATCATATGTCGTTGACGCATTCTGTATGAGATTGTCAAGCTGTCGTAGCTCCATAAAAACCTCTCTTCGCAACATATTATCGTCGCCATCTTTTGGTATAACTATAACGCGGCCAAAACGACCTGAAAATGACAAAGATTAATATTAATATACATCAACTAAAGTTGTCTAAAATGGGATTTCGAAATTTTATTCCTACTTAAGTTAATTGACATATGGCTCCACAAAACCGATTTATAAAACCATATAAATTTTTAGTACACTTTTCTAGTTCTTCTATCTTTTTATCTATATTTATTATCTTCACTTTAAGCTTAAGGTTTTATTTATATTTTTAAGATTGATTTCTAATAGTATATTTTTCAAAATAAATTAAGAAATATCTTATATAGAATACATCATCTACAGTAAAACTTTAACGAAATGAATGACCTGATTAATTCATATAAGGAATCTTTAAAGATTTGATTCGCTCATCAAAAGAGATGACATATGCTACTCGCGCTTCGTATAATCAAACATAAATTTAATCATAGTTTGACCCTATTTTGTACCAGTGTGAACTGCCTAGGCCTTCCTCAGTGCCAGCGCCTTCGTTTTGTATCTGGCGACGTGACAATAATTCAAATCAGTTTCATTTTCAAAGATCTTTTTATTAGTTATTTGCGCTCGTATAATTCACTTCCACATTGTTAGAGTATTGTGCAAATCGTTTTGTGTTTAATGCGCCATAACAAATGCAGCAGTCACAGTCACAGACCCGCTATATATGCAAGTAAATATCTACGTGTGTGCGTAGATAATATAAAAATATCTTTCACCAATAATTAATCTTTAAGATACATAGATATATATCTTAATTTTCTTTTTTTATTTGAAAGAAATCTTTATAATATAATAATAATAACTTTATATTTATCTATAGAAATCTGAATATATCTGTATATTTAATGCTGGTTGCCTAGCATCTGGATGGAACGTGACGCTCAACACGTTCCATTCGCGAATATTTTGTCAATGAACTTGTAAAAATTCTAATACACATTTTGACATAAACAAACTTTGCTCGTGGCTTTATAATATATACAAATGGACACACTGAAATAGAGACAGAGATAATTTTCTATTTATACTCGTATGCCAGCTGTTGATAAGGTACTTTGCAAATTGCATGTCCAGCTGTTTTTAATCAGTTGCTTATCGAATACTGCGAAACGTAGAAATCACTCTGAAATTAAAAAGGGCTTATGCGGAGTAAGTACACAGAAATACATTTAAAGACCCAAATGAAAATTTTGATATATATATATTTATATATATATATATAAAAAAAAAAAAAAACGTTTAAATATGAAAGTTTACATCATATGAAATCACTAGTTAAGTATTTATTATTCTCTAAAATGGATAGATATTAAATATTTTTTATTTATTGAGCGATTCTAAAACCTGTTAAACGCATGTATGTAGTTTACCAAAAATTTACTAGTTTTACTTTGTCGTAGTATTTTCTGCAGTTGATAATTTGTCAAAATAAAAAATAATAAAAAAACGAACTCATAAACTCATGTGTTCGAATGATGATTTCCCATACCGGGAATTGAACCCGGGCCTTCCGGGTGAGAGCCGGATATCCTAACCACTAGACAATATGGGAGGTGTCAGTCGCATCCACCCAAATGCCAAATGAATTACTATAAAGCAGTGCAAGCAGTACAAGGTGTTCAGCTTTGCAACTGCGCTGCTGTGTTATTTATTATTTTCTATGCATGACAATGTTCATAGTACCAATCAATTTATATAACTTTTCGTCGAAACACTACATTAAAAATATATATATAATGCATCGCTTTGTTGCGCTACATAAAAATAATATACTTAATTTCTTAAGACAGACGGGCGAAAGTTGGTTGCACTGCAACACAATTTATTTACTAACATGCAACTCCATTTGAGTTTCAAGCATTTGAAATCGCCTCCGTTGCAGCGGGAATACACAGACACAGCTACGACCATAAGTGCAAGTTAAGCGAAGCGTAGCTAACTGGTCGAAACCGACTAAATGCGGTCTAGATAATGTATATAAACAGTTAGCTCAAATGAAACAGTTGTTGCCAACAACCAGGTGCTGGTGTTGCTGCTGCTGCTGCTGCTTCTTCTGCTGCAACTCACAAGACTTGTTCTGCATCTTCTCCTAGCATTTGCGACTGTCAAAACCAAAGTTCAATGATGCTACGCATACACGCACATGTTAAATGAACGCTTGATTAAGTGGTTAAGTCGAGATCTAGAAATACAAAAGTACTCTTATAAGCATTGAATAGTTAAGATCTCGTTGTCATTGACTGCAGTGCTTTGTAGAATGCGGCCAACAGATTTCGCAAGAAGCGTTTCTTAATCTCGTTTCGTATTATACATTTCGCTCACTCACGCTCTGACTCTTTCTCTATTTTCGTGTATTATATAGTGTGGAGTCTCAACGTTTGGCTGTGTACTCATTATTTTTGATGATTTTTTATGACTTTTACAGTTTTTGTTTTCTTTAAATGGATTTGAGATTTCGCATAATGCACACGTTTTACAATTTGTGCAACATTTTTTGTACATTACTTTTTTTGCAAAGCAACTTTTACCAAATTGAACACTCTTACTACACACTTATTATTGACCTCCTTTGCGCTTCAACGTCTTTGTGACGGGGCGTGGGTTTGGCACAGGCACGCTATAGGTATTTACGATTCATTTGTTATACACAAATCTTTAAATATATGTGTAGGTATTTGCTAAGGACTATTGTTCGTTAAATACGTAAATAGTCGTTGCCCTAGCTAACACATGTTTAGTCTGTAATTAAAAATAGTTCTTGGAATCTATTTTTACCCTTTAGTTTAAGTCCCGTAAATATAAAACTTATTTACTGTGCGATTAGAGATCAGGTCTCCCATATGGTCTAGTGGCTAGGATATCTGGCTTTCACCCAGAAGGCCCGGGTTCGATTCCCGGTATGGGAAGTATATTTTTTGCTTTAATTTGTCTTTATTGGAATATATATATAAATATTCTTGTAGTCAATCATGCGACTGAAATTGATTAATTATAGTTGATGTTGGAATTGTTATACAAATTGAATTGTCTGATCGATTTGGTAACTAACCTGAAGCTTATTGTGTTTACGTATGTATAACTGCTACAGACTCAAGTCACTCAGTGTTTTTTATTTCCCTTATTTGTGGCACAATGTCATTTGGCAATTTTACATCGTTTGCCAGCCTTAGTTGTGATTGTTGTTGTTGGCTTTGGTTAATAAGCCATTTAGTGTAGTTAATAGCGTGTAGAAACTCTGCCGCGGTTCAAGACCCTATTCAAATGTTGCCCACACATTTCATCTGCCCGATGATTTTGTAGACTTGAACTTTAATTTTAGAAACTAAATGTTGTCTGAGTCAAACATAGATTTGCAACACAGTTTTTTCGGGGAACTGAGATGAAGCATAAGCGCGGTGCAAAAAGTGTTGCAATTTTTAATTGGATGACTAAATTGGTGTCGTCGAGCCATTTCACTTGCCCAATGTTTTGCTATTATAGCAAACCATTTAAGCCTCACCCTATGCATACAGACAAACTTTGAATGTGGTTGCTTGCTGTTGTCGTTGGAACTTACCCGGCCTGGTAATGCGTCCTACATTGAAGCGATGCGTATAATTCACTTTGAAGTATTGCTCAACAAGCGCACGCTCGGCCTTACCCTCGCCATTAATGGGCGAAAATAGATATTCGGGATCGATTTGGTACTTTAACTGCTGATAGCTGTATAATATGATTATTATTAAAAATCATAAACTGTATAAAACATATTGTCGTAACTCACCCGGTCATACAGAGCAACGTTATCATCACGGGTATGATGACAAAATAGCCCGGATGTTTGGCTATGCAAATGCCCAGGTGATAAAATGATTTGTTTAGTGTCCTATCGACACACGAAATGCCGCACGTCATCTGTAAATTAAATGAAAAATAAAGCTGTTATTGAGATATAGGTATAATGAAGTTCTCTAAATAAGTGAATAGGTATTAGTTATTGTTCTACAACTACAGCTCAAGATCAATTAATTGAAGTAAACACATTATAAGCTAACCTCATCTATGCCTCGATTGCGTGCATGCTGTACTCTAGTGAAGGTGAAAGACTTAAGGCAAAATTAGACTAAAGCTGTTATTATATGCTATTTATGTACACACATACATACATTTGCTCAACGTAGGTTTGTTAAAGGTTGGTAGGCATAATTGTATTTGTGTTTGTATTTGTACTGTGCTTATTTTGCTTTGTTCATCGGCACCTTCAGCTTAACGTAACACACGCATTGTTTTTAGTATGCCATTTGTCTGAATAGATTCGAGAAAATAAAATATATATAAATGCCCTTGTTCATCTAACCAAACATAACAATAAAATAAATAATGACACAAAATAAGTCAGTAATGCACATTAACATGATCATAGAAGTCAAGTACAAGAATATAATAAACAGTTTTATATAATTACTTTCAATTAGTTTTGCCAGTAACATAAGATTTTTTTAATAGAAAGAATATAAATAATAGAAGTATTGCGGCTAAAATTATAAAGTATTTTAGCGAACAAAAAAATTATATCCGCCCCCGGGTGGACTCGAACCACCAACCTTTCGGTTAACAGCCGAACGCGCTAACCGATTGCGCCACGGAGGCCACTGAATGAGGTCTGTCCAATCTCACTTTGCTGTTGCATAGCACAACTTCTTATAAGAATATTTTTTAGTTACTGTAATTCGTGTTGGGCTAAGTTTGGTTAGAATTCATGAAATAAACAGCAGCCTCCGTGGCGCAATCGGTTAGCGCGTTCGGCTGTTAACCGAAAGGTTGGTGGTTCGAGTCCACCCGGGGGCGGGACAAACTTTTTTTGCAAATTCATTTTTATATTACCCGCCTTGTCTTTTCTTTTTCAATTAGCTCATGATCTTAAAGCAAGATCTTACTTGTTACTCATTCCAATGTTTTGGGGATGGAAGCGTTTAGACCGTTTTGACGATGGATTTTAAATTTGTACACATAATAAAAAAAAATCCTGTATTCCTTTTTAAAAAATTTCAACAGAAAATCATAATTTACACGCATTGTATATTATTCATTACAATGAACAATATTTGTTGCTGCGCAATTTGTTTAAGCAATTACTCATGCCAAACACAGAATGTTTCATAGATATTCAACATTATGAGCTTGTCGAATAACCAGCTTCAATGAGCTACATGAATAGAACATTAGCATTATAATTGCCCAAGACCAACCGTAATGACAAAAGCAAAAAAAAATAAATAAATAAATAAAATAAAAAATAAGACAATAGCAATAGAAGAAAACCACAACACTTTCAATGAAATAACATATGAAGCACATTTGACTGTCCACTAACAGAATAGGAGTGTATAGAAATGTGAATAGGAGGGGACTTTTAAGCTGTTGCAAGCTAGGGGCAATGTTAATGCTCAATAGTAATTGGCCATCATCTTTGTCTTTTACAATTTTCATCTTGGTACTTGCGTGTTAAACACCGAGCATAACATCAATTAGCCAAATATATGGTATCTTTTAATATACGAGAAAATCTAAAGCTGCAGCTGTATATGTATAAGCATACACTTGGTAACTTTCTATTTCTATTCGTTCGGGTTCAACGACAACTGACGCTGCACTTTTACAAAAGCAAAAAAAATGGTAACAAAACAGACATTACAACACAGACGCCCATTGCCCATAGCACACTTAAGTCTTTTGGCTTTTGGATTTGCTTCAGTCAAGGTTAGAGCTTCAGTCTGGACCGTTGCAGCAACTATTATTATTGTTGTTGGTATAGCGGTTCATTATGTCAAAGTGATTTAATAAACAAGTTGGGCGCCAAACATCAACATCCAAGGAGTGCTGTGTGGCAACAGTTGCCAACGTCGGCGATATTTATATTTGTGTTAAAAGGCCAGCAAATGAGTCTCTGTCGCTGTCCATCAGCACAGTTCAGAGCAGGGCCAAAGCACCTCAAGTCTCGATGTTGCCTACTTCCAAAATACTATGTATGTTAGTAGAATAACAGTTAAAAAGTTATGCAAATATGCAACAATTTTCGTGCACGACTTAAGTGATAGCTTCATTTTACTATTTACTTCACAGGTATGTGACGAATGCTACTCAAAAAGTTCTTGTAATAAAGAAATTTGTCGGAAGCAGCTAGACTACTGAGTTTGTAGATTTAATAAAAAAGTTGACACGCAGAATGAATAATGGACTTTTAAGTTTTTTTTAATACATAATACATATGTACAAATTAAATTATTAAAATGAATACAGGAATGAATAAGAATAAATTTTTTAAATATATAATTTTTGCAAAAGTTTTTTAATATAAACAAGAAGGTATAGCCCACTATAAATTTTAGATGAAAAAATACGTATGTGTGATTCGAACTCCCGCTTTCACAAACTAAAGCACATGCTCAACAAAGGCAACAATCAACTTAACAATTTCTCTGCAGCTGTGAATTTAGCCACAATTAAATTAAATAATTAAATTCAACAGAATGCATGCATTTCAATGTGTGCACATGTATACAAAATGTGCATACGCTGCTTCCTCGTGCTGTGGACCATACGTTTTACATTAAAATTTTTGTAAAGTGGCACATTTATCGCAGACTACCTATAATTAATATAAACTAACCTTAAATGTAAATTATTTTGAAGGACAAAATATAACATAATTCCAAATTCTATAAAATATCATCATCATTTTGTGATTGTACAAGATACGATTTAGTAACTAGCTTTTATTGGATAGACAAACTGGGCTAGATTGATTCAGAAGAATTTATCTACTTTAGGAGATCTACTACGTCTGCAGTCAGTTCAATAAATTAAAAAATAAAATAAAAAAAAGTACTTCGTGAATCTTCCATATATTCAAAATGTCTAAAAACACCAATATAACTGAGCTTTAAAGTTTGTGAATTGAATCAATTTTAGATTTTTCCAGTTGAATTAGTTCTCGAATAGTTCTTTTTCATTGGTTGTCTGTCATTGCGCACAATTTTTCCTTTTCACATTTGTCTATTTATCATCAGCGAGCTTCTTTATGTGACTTTATTTGACTTAAAAGCTCATCATATGAATGCACTCGCACTTTTTGATTGATTAATCCGGCTTTCACTTGAGTCCAATATCGTTTTCAGTCGCATTAATTATATTGCACTATGCTGATTTTGCTGACGTGTCTCTAACATCAGTTGACTTTTATATATAATGCTAGCAATATGTTCACAGCTTTTCGCTTTGCTTTCGACTCTCATTAGTTCGATTAAAGTCTAAAAATAGCCTTTCCAAGAGCCCGGCTCGTCCGACATTATGCAAAATTTGAAATTTTACAACATACATAACATAACAAATGCAGCATCCCTCAAAGCCCATTAATGAACATTCAAATGATGTTGCAAACGCCAGTTTCAACTTCAACTTCAACTTTAACTTTAGCTTTAACATCGACTTCAGCTGGAATTTCAGTTTTCATAATCAGCTACCAGCTGACATTAAATGTCAAAATAAATGCGTTATCATGTCGTCTGCGGCTATTGCATTGTCTGCTACGACTAAAACGATTTACTGAGCTTTTGAAATTTGCCAATTCGAAAACAAAAAATTTGGCTCTTGGATAATATTGTGCAGTGCGACACGTTTGCACCTTGAGAATTTCCCACCTGCTCCTAAGCTCAAATACGTGCCAAGAAAACCAAGAAACGAGCATAAATAGAAACATATATCTAAACGAATATCTTAATAGAGTCTTATTTAAATGTGGCGACCATCAAAGGCGATTTCTGCATAATTTCTGGGTCTTCCGCCAATTTGGGTAACTGGGTCGACAAACAACCGATGCTGATTGATTTATGTTTCAATTATCTTTTGAACGAAAAGCAAACATTTTTGCATTTGTAAGCTATTTTTTAATAATTCATTAGAAATTCTTTGAAGCGCCGTGAAAGTTGTCTGCCCAAAAAGAGTTTGTCGCGTAAGTCTTTTGTTTTCATTTTGATTTTATTTTGACTTTTCGCTTTTTGGTCAAAGCACTTTGACGTCTTGCTGTTTATGGCCGTGCGTATGTGTGTGTGTGTGTACGTGGTGTCGTTTATATTGTTGTTTTTATGCATATTGATGATTTCTTTGAAAGAATGTTTACATATATATATACGAATTTCTGATATGCCAACTTATTGGCATTCTCTGATATTTTTTTTTTTTTGGTCATTGAAATTTTTTTTAGCCTTAAAAAAATGCATGGATAAATATAATTCAGAGTGCAATTGTGAAAAATAATTTATTTGGTATTTATTTCTTCAGAATTTATGTAGGAAGTGATTTTATTGAGAAGTAAAATACAACATTCTTGTCGACCTTAACTTAACTACATATACGTTACAAATTTTAATAGTAATACATATATGTATATATAATCTAAGTATATACAAAAAGTAAAAACACAATTTGAAATTTGAACACAATTTATTATCAAAAACAACATACTTAAATGCAAAAAAATTAGAGCCTCAATTAACTAAAGCGCGCAAATTCTTTGGATAAAATATGGTTTAATTAGAGCTGGTTTCATTTTCCAATATCCAGTAAAAGCTGCAGTTTTCCAGCCACTATTCGCACAGCATACGGATGCGTGCCTGTCCGCTGGTTGTTGTTGTTGCTCACCTGCATTTTCTGATCAATCTGTTGCATGCCATTGCATAAGTGTGGTTTACCCAGGCGCAAGCTGAACGCCTTTCGGTCTCTATTTTACTCGCTTCTTAAACAATTTATATAATCGATTCATGCGTTGCAAAAAATAAAAAAAAACCGCACCATACTTAATTCAATATGTTTGCCATTACCAAATATCAAAATCAACAACTTTCACTTTTGTTATTTTATTTTATGTATTTTTTTTCTTTTTTATTTGTTGCAGACAAATCAACACGCGAAGCATAAATACTAACAGATTGCAAAATGCATAGTGATTAATGCATATTAAAAATACTAATTTCACTAATGCGAGATAATGCAAAATAGCAAAAAATAAATAAATAAATAAAATAAGGAAATTTAAAAAAATGTAATATCAAAGTTCAATTTAATAATTCGCCTTGCGGATGGCTTTGAATTTGGGTCAAGTCAGTCAAGTAGAACACAAGACTCTATTGACCTTAACACGTGGGCGTGGCTTAGACAAAAAGCCTAACAATATATATGTATATAAATTTATATATATTTATTTATTGTGAATTGTCAACTCCATATATATATATATATATATATATATATATGCGAGCCATACATCCATATGTGTGTTGTTTTTGGCAACGGGCAAACAACCTTTTCGTATTTCTTACAATTTGTGTGGCAACAATTGTTTGCAATGAATTTTAATTAGTCTTGCTTCGAGGCTGACAAATTAACATTGAGCACCCGTCAAACACTTGACAACATATTGATACTGGGCTGCCGCTCCGCCCCCCAGTTGACTGGGAGCAGAAATATAAATACGATATATATCGTATAAGATATATGTATATGAATCACATACGAAAACACAAATTGAAAACACTTTCTACTTTTCTGCGACTCTGAACTTCAAGCTCGGCGCGCTTGGTCTGACGCATGCGCAGCCAAAACAACCTGGAACTAGGCCACACATATACACACGCAGACACACACACATGCACGCCTAGTTAAAGTTCGCTCTCTGTAACTGCTTTCAATTTGAATTTAATTTTTTTTTTTTTTATTTATTTCTACTCGCTTTTTGATTTATTTGCCTTTGCATTAATTAACGATTTATCGGCTACTTTTAAAACTGTTAGGTTTGAAGTATCTGATATCTCATTTTATTTTTGGGTTTTTTCTCGAATTCCATTCGAAATCTTTGGGTCAGTAGAGCAGCTGTGTAAGATTTCAAAATAAATTATGTAAGTGTTATTCTTTTTTATTAGATTACGGATGAGCTCTGCATAATATTAACAAATATATTCTGTAGCTACATGAATAGATGATTATGAAAAGCTAGTTAAATCATGGTTTCTAAAAGTCATAGATAAAAGAACATCTAAGTTCCCCTTTTCTATTATAAATGATTTTTTGTAGAAGTCAATTACAAATTTTGAAAAAGCAGGTAAGTTTCATTACCTTAACACAATTTCCAATCATTCCCACAGATTCTTTTAAAAGCAAAAGATAAATCAACAGGAATACCTATCAACAACAATTCGATGCCTTCAGAGACATAACCTTCATAATTATTGTAGGCCTACCCTATCGGGGTATTTTGCTTTTCAAAAGGCTCCATAAGACTGAACACAAATAACATAATCCTATTTTCTTACATTTCATTTTACATTGATATGTACAGTTGTGTTTCCTAGAGTCTGGATAGTAAAATACAGCAGGTAGCGCGTAGTGTTACCCATCTGATTGTGTTCGACATTTGACTGATCCTCAGAAGATTGAATGGCCCAGAACTATCGTACAGCCTGCATAGGTAGCATAAAAAACTGGTTTCAACAGGTTAATGGAAAAATGTTCAATGAAGACCGTAGCAAGAATTTTACGACTGATCATTAACAACTTTCGGCACGCGACTTGAGTACTCAATAATTTGCGAAATCTAACAAATTGACATTACAGCATTAACGTTAACATTAACATAAGCATTAGCAGAAACTGCTCTGGGAACTGTTTAAATATTTGCTAAAGTATTTATCATGAAAGCGAACGCCACGAATTAGCAAAGTTCGAGTTTCGATCGTAGTTCCAGTTCCAAAGCCAAGTGGCACGCAGCTAACGACAAGCCACAGCATTGTGGAACCCATCAAGGTGTTAACTAAAGCACGAGCTCCAAGTGGTTCCACGGCAATCAATAGGCGTCTCATGTGCAAAGTCTTTCGAAAGGAAAAGTGCCCAGCCAGCCTCCGACTCCGAGTCCGACTCAGAGTCGAACTGCGACTCGAACCGAGGTGCCATACGGTGCTCTCTTGTTCCAGAAAATCTCTCATTGTGTAGCGCTCTGAAGTGCCGTTACACTCCACACTCTTTAGATACATACATTTACTACCTTGTATGTATATACTTCCACATATACATATATGTATATAGTATAGGTGATCGGCAGTGCACTTTCTTTTTTCTACCACATTTCTCGACGGTTTCTGCTTTGGCTGCGGCTTTTGTTGTCTTTAGTTGTCTTTCGCTCTTTCCTTCGCTCTTTCTTTATTTAGTTGTTGCCTTTTAGCAATTGTATATGTTTTTACTTCTACCTTTTTATTATTGGGCTGCCGATTCGATGTTATGTGTGTACAAAGTCGACGTTATTCGCTCGGAAAACGCCATCATAATTACTCATTTTCTACGGAAAACGAATCTGAGAGTAAAAGTCTCATATGATAAGACTAATTAACGTCTAGACCAAAGAAAGTGTAAGTTATTGTGCTTGCGATTAGTCGAATGGTAGCTAAATGTGCCTGACATATCACTAAATGCATAATTGAGATCTTGGAGAAGAAGCAAAGATAGCGAAAGTGACAGGGAGAGAGGGAGAGAGGCAGAGTGAGACTAGAAGTATGTAGAAAAACATTTGAAGATGTATGTTTATTTAAATGTTTTTCATTTAAAATTTGATTGCTATTTACAGCTAGATAAAATATTTGTATGAAGGTAGAAATTTCAAAAGTTTCCAAGTTATATATGCAAATCTCCCTCGAAGAAAATTAATTTGCAAATTGGAAGTGAAATTTAGTTCATTGGAAAAAATATTAAATTAAATAAACCGATTATAATTTAATTTTAAATTAAATTTAAAAACAGTTTTTGACATCAAACCCAAACAAAAGCAAATTGTAATTAGGAAATAGTAAAAATATATGATAAATACCTAATTCTAAATTCTTGTATACCTAAAATTGTTAAAAATAATAAAATAACAATATAAATAACAATATAACTAACCTAACCTAACATAATCTTACCTAGCCTCAGCCCCGACAATATCCTCAATGAACATTAATAGATCATTAATTTTCGAAATCAATCTCAACTTGAATCAACCTAAATGCCGCTCAACTATATTTAATCAATTGTAGAAAATATGATACGCTTGGTCTTTTCCAATTCAATCTCGATTTCGATTTTGATTTCCACAACGTTGTCGGCCTTGAACATAATGGGATTTGCTCAAACACAAATTGATTAAAACTCGACCTAAACGAACCGGTTTTTTCGGCAATTTCACTTGAACTTTCATTAACTGTGCAACTCCTTTATGTGTTGGCTCCCCATCGGGGAAGGGGGAAGTTACAAATATTTTCACATTACATAGTCAACAAAGGCAAACCGGATCATAATGAATCGGGCCACGTTTCGGGTCGGATGGGGTGCGGGGCTAGTTTTATGTAATCATTTTTCGGGTCGTATGTTCAAAATGCAAACTTATGAAAATTGTTGTGTGTGTCCTAGTGTGTGTGTTGTGTGTGTACGTGTATGTGTTTGGACTATTGGCCAATGTTAGCTATTGAGCTTTGGATTCGCTGTGTGGTATCTTGTCTTGACGCTTTTCGCTTCACTCTTTAATGCCAATTTGTATATATGTATGTGTGTACTGGCTTTGAGGTTCAGGTGTTGTACTCTGGCAATGGCCAAGTAATTGTAGCTATGCTCCAATTAAACTGCATTTATTTACCTGTCAAAGTTTTTTTTTTTTTTTTTTGAGAAGCAAAAGAAACGTTGCTCCTCATGCACAGCACACCTCGCCTCCAATCACAGTCATTTGTTGAGTTTAATTACACTTCGTCTAGGCTGTCATTCATTTTCTTTAAATCGCATTTAATAACTCGAACAGCTACGAATATAATCTTGAGTTTATTTGATTTTTTATTCTATAATTTAATTAAAGCTTGATAAAAGCCCCAGTCTAAAAGAAAATCCCTGTTGCCAAGTGGCAAGATTTTAAAATGGGAATAGTCGAAAAATGCTATCCACAAATTAGAAATAATTGAAAAAAATTGCTTCTTCAATTGGACACAAAATTGCGCAAATTTCATTATTCTATTGTAATAGCACTTTATATAAAATATTCGAGAAACTGCGAAAATCGCTAGAGAGTACTTTAAATTTTAGCTTGAGTGAAGTTTGAAAATTTAATAGTTTTATTTACTTCTCATATGCATTTTTTTAAATAATTAGATTCACTAAAAAATTTTACATATTTTTTTATTTTATCTCATATGTTTATTAAAATTTAAGATAAATGAATTTACTTTTCAATACTAGTAGAAATACTATGATTGAAATTTAAGAAAAATGAATGAATTTTATTGTATACTATTACTGTTTTCCTGCAATCGTACAATTTTGTCCTTTTCGACATGGGATGTCGTATACGACGCAGATTAAGACTTCACTGGAGCAACAAAGTGTCGATGCGCAATAATCAAAGATTCCACCCCATTAATATGAGGGGAAAAGAAAGTACTCCCCTCCAAAAAGATGCTAGGCACAATTGAACGCAATCAATGATAATAAATATTTGTACGAAACTCACCTTGTCGTTATCGAAACACTCGTTGGTTGAATATCCAAAGGATTGTAGAATTCGTGTAGAACTTTAAATAGTTGTTCGTTTGTGAATTGTTGTAAGCCTTTTATTCTCTTTGAGGAACAGATTCAATTGCACTTTTTCGTGTTTCGCATATGATGCTTATGATATATACATATACATATATATATATGTTCCGATATTTGTAACTTAGTATTAATAATTATTCAATTACTTGTTCTAGAATACCAGACACACGCACTGACTTGTCCGACATTTTTATAACAACATATACATAGATTTGTACATATATTTATCCAATCGCATATGGATAGAGCGTTAAAAAATTTCGAACCTCCAACGTTGCGACAGAGCAACTGACCGACCGTTGGCTACGAGACCGTCACACGGACTGACTATCGAAACTGAGCTGTAGTGCCGTAAAGCCGACTTACACTGACTATCAGCACGCCATGCACGTGTGTGTATGAGAGTGAGAGCAAGAGAGAGAGAGCGGACAGCCGCTTAAGCATGAGAGAGCATTCAGTTGATATCTCTCTTTCTCTCTCTCTTCTGCTGCTGCTGCTCACCTGTTGCATGTGTTTCAACTGCTTTCTTTCATTCTCTCTCTCTCTCTTTCGCTCTTCTATGTTTATTGGTTTTCAGGTGTTGCATTTGAGCACCGGTTTGTGCCGGTTTTACAATTTTTTGGGAAAATGCATTTTCCTATACCTGTTTGGTTTGGTTGCTGCTTTTGTTGTTGTTGTTGTTGCTGTGCCTTATGCTCAAGTCTGAAGGTCGCATTTTCGCTCATTAATCGCTGCTTCAGCACTTTCATCTGCGCCTGCGCACAGACTTTATTTGCTCTCACACTGATTAACGGTGTCGTGTAGGTATCACCGCGCTCAGGTGTGTGCGTGTGTCTATTCTCATTTGTAAGAGTTTCGTATGAATTATGCGCCTGAGCAGCAGCCATAAACGTTTATTGAAGAGACTTCGCGAGAATTGTGTAGTTCCTAGCTCTACATTCATATATATATATGAATATATATATACATACATACATACATCTGAAATGAGAAGAGTAGTATATGATTATCCTTTAAAGATCAGTTTGTTATTAGATTAAATTCTGAAATTAAACCAGAGGAAACTTGAAAATCTAGAATTATCGGGAATTATTAAAATGATCGAGAATTGTAATCAGAGTTATCTTGATTAAAGATGTACAGAAATTTGATTAGGAATTTGAAAGGGAAATCACAAACAAAAACTAGTTTACTTTTTTTTTTTAACTTTTTTACTTTTCTTAATTAAATAATTAGGCAAACAAGATATATACTTCATTAGCTTAACTATTACGATAGTTAAGATACCAACTTAGAACATTTTTCCAACTAATTAAACAAATGATTAGACCTTCGGCTATCATTAAAACAACATTTGAGCAATGAGTCTGGCGTCTTCATAAAATCTCGAAATTCTTTAAGCTCACAGCCAAAAATATCGTTTAAGTCTAATATAATTTAAATATTTAAATGTCAGGAACTAAAGATTTGACAAAAAGACAAGACAAATTTATTAGATCGGTGTGAGAAATATGCTTGAGAATTCAGAAAAATAGAGAAAGAGCTGACGACTAAAGAGCTCACACATACAGAGAGGGGGAAAGAGAAAGGGAGATGCTTAAGCGGAAATTTTAATAAAAATTAAATACAATTTATTTCAAACAGTGAAAATACACACATGTACACACACAGACACACTTAGCTCGTTTGTGTGATAAAAATACGCAGAAGTAATGTGCGACAAGTATTGAAAATATTATATGTACTCGTATATGGACTAACATATGTATATAGACTGTGATCTGCTGGATGGTCTGTTGGTCTGTTGATAGCGCAAACAAAACGTCAGATAAGCACGTTCAACTCAGTCGAGGATTGACGGCCCATTCAATTGAGTAGGTGTAGGTGTAGGTGTATCTGTATCTGTATTTGTATCTGAATCTGCGAGTACTGCAAACTGCGATGCTTCGAATCGTATAGTTGAATTTAATTCTGTGCAATCAGCGGCGTTTTACGACGCTCTATATATATTTATATATTTGTGCACATATACTATATACACATACATATGTGCTTGAGGATGAGTAAACATTGTGGCAGCAAGAAAGCATTGATTGGATTTTGAATGAGATTGAATACGATTGGGGCACATCATCAAAAAATACCGCACTACACTAAGCCAAAAATTATAGACCATATGTTAAATTTCCCTATCTTTCGTCCATATTTCAATATCTCTCAATACACGTTTTAATGAGAATCGCAATTTAAATTAATTTCATTCATATACAACTTTTTAGACAATGATCAAATATCTCGTTTTACTTTTCCCAGTGTCTTTCTTTTCGTCAAATTTGATTATTAAATTTTTATCTACCGTATTCAACTGTGACTTAGGATTTGGATAGCACGAACAGGAAAATTAAATTAACCACAATTTTGTATATCAATTAAAACACGTTAGAGTACAGTTATTTGAGAGAGCTTCTATGCATTTATTACTTATAAATGAATACTTATAAATAAATACAGTAGAATCCGGTAATAACGACTCCGCTTATAGCATTTGCGCGGTTATAGCGCCTTCCGGATATAAACACAGACCCTTGAGTGTCGTTATAATCGGATTCTACTGTATTTTATTTTGGGTAAGTTGATATCTATTACTGTGTATACGTATTGCTTTTTTATAGCAATTTATCCACTTTAACTCTGACAAACATAATGTGATCTGTTGCTCTAAGTTTAAAATCAGTTCACAAATACACTAGCAATACACTAGCAATACTCCAAATTGCATACACTCTAAAATATATTCCCTGCTCTCTGGTACCACCTGAACCTATATCGCAATTGCAGGCTAATTCACATTCAAAACAGATCAAACTTTTATACACAACGCGGGTCGGTCCTACTATGCCACATGTTTTATCTTTGGCCCGGAAGCACACAACATTTATAAGAGTATCTGAAAAGGAATAATTTATTTCATCGATTGTTTGCAATACAATACAGAAGAGTTACCAGTTATTTTCATTTTAGGATCTATGCATTCATCCAGAGCTTCGTCCGGCTTACTGTCCCCGATTGGCTGTACTTTGCCCCTATCAGCTGTTGTATTTCTGATGAATACAAGATTTTTCGCCGGTTTACAATTTGAAATATAATTAGTGCAATCAAAACACCTGTTTCCTTGTCCACACACATCTGTAAAATGTTGGTTATTTGAAACAAACACTCAGTACGAAGTCACTACGCATAGGTTTTCAAATATCTATGTAAGGATCGATGTCCAGAATGGGCATATGTAGTTAAGGTAATATTGGTATTATTTGACTAAGAGCTTTATGTCATTGTGAGTTCAACTGAATAATTTTAGTTCTTTATTTTTTAATAAAAACGAAAAGTATTTTTTTAAATATTTGTCAGTTGTTGTCAGTTAAAAAGCAAAATATTTCTTTACGTCAGATTTCTCAGATATTTATTAAATTAGAAGTCCGCCTAGATATAGTATATATAGTTAAAGCATAGTTATCGGGAATTAAAATTACCATTATGCACCCAGAAAAACAAGAAAATACAAATAATTTTAAATGTGTTCATTTTTTCAACGAAAAGTTTTGTAATCAGAGCTCAAATTTAATTTTGACAAATAACATTTAGACTCGTAATAAATACAAGAGCTTGCTGGGTTTTAGCAAGGTAGAGCAGGTATTGATACATGTAGAATATCTATATCTAGATATTGCTGTAGATATAGATATAGATATAGATATAGATATAGATATAGATATAGATATAGATATATATATATATATATATATATATATAGATATAGATATAGATATAGATATAGATATAGATATAGATATAGATATAGATATAGATATAGATATAGATATAGATATAGATATAGATATAGATATAGATATAGATATAGATATAGATATAGATATAGATATAGATATAGATATAGATATAGATATAGATATAGATATAGATATAGATATAGATATAGATATAGATATAGATATAGATATAGATATAGATATAGATATAGATATAGATATAGATATAGATATAGATATAGATATAGATATAGATATAGATATAGATATAGATATAGATATAGATATATATATATATATATATATATATATATATATATATAGATATAGATATAGATATAGATATAGATATAGATATAGATATAGATATAGATATAGATATAGATATAGATATAGATATAGATATAGATATAGATATAGATATAGATATAGATATAGATATAGATATAGATATAGATATAGATATAGATATAGATATAGATATAGATATAGATATAGATATAGATATAGATATAGATATAGATATAGATATAGATATAGATATAGATATAGATATAGATATAGATATAGATATAGATATAGATATAGATATAGATATAGATATAGATATAGATATAGATATAGATATAGATATAGATATAGATATAGATATAGATATAGATATAGATATAGATATAGATATAGATATAGATATAGATATAGATATAGATATAGATATAGATATAGATATAGATATAGATATAGATATAGATATAGATATAGATATAGATATAGATATAGATATAGATATAGATATAGATATAGATATAGATATAGATATAGATATAGATATAGATATAGATATAGATATAGATATAGATATAGATATAGATATAGATATAGATATAGATATAGATATAGATATAGATATAGATATAGATATAGATATAGATATAGATATAGATATAGATATAGATATAGATATAGATATAGATATAGATATAGATATAGATATAGATATAGATATAGATATAGATATAGATATAGATATAGATATAGATATAGATATAGATATAGATATAGATATAGATATAGATATAGATATAGATATAGATATAGATATAGATATAGATATAGATATAGATATAGATATAGATATAGATATAGATATAGATATAGATATAGATATAGATATATAGATATAGATATAGATATAGATATAGATATAGATATAGATATAGATATAGATATAGATATAGATATAGATATAGATATAGATATAGATATAGATATAGATATAGATATAGATATAGATATAGATATAGATATAGATATAGATATAGATATAGATATAGATATAGATAGAGATTATTTGAAATACACTTAATCAACAATATACAAATTTCACATCTCAAAGTCTTAAAGATCAATAAAACAATATTCATGCGATCCACACATTTTTAACGGCTCAGATAATTCGAACCTAATGAGTACTTGCTGGTAGCAAGGCTTAAGGCATTTGAAAATGTATCAATAAATAATCAATCCGCTTATATACAGTACAATTTGAAGAGATTCCAAATAAATAACCGATGTAAGGTCTTCCCTTACGGCTTTTGAGAATTTAGTTGGATCACATTGACAGGCTGCTGCACACGCCCAGCATACGGCACCCTCATCATTATAATTGTTTGATATTACGCCACAGGTCTTATCTTTAGTTATGGAACACAGAACACCGTTCAGAACACCTAAAACGCAACAATAAATAATCTTTAGTTGTTTCCATAATAAATACACACACAGATATAAAGAGAATGTCCTTGAGCCAAGCAATGCGCATAGACTTACCAGTTAAATTCACACCAGGCTTTATACACTTATCTAACTCCGATTCGGATCCCGAGGCATTTACACTCGGTATAGCCTTCGTAGAATCCTTTTGTGGTACTGTGAATTTAAAAAGGTCTTTGGGTGGCCTGCAATTGTGAATGTCAACTACGCAGTCAAAACATTTATTATAATGACCATTGACATCTGTAAGGTTCAGTTTTCAGTCAATCGCAATATAGTTATTTATGATACATGACGTGTAGAGCTTAACTTACTGATCATCAAACTGAACAGCATATAGCCAAAAATTATATTTAAAAACATATTTGAAGTTTTGGTATGTATTATTTGAATTATCTGGAACAAGGAAAACAATTTTTAATGATTGATAAACTTCTATAATGGCATAAAAACTGTTGTTTTTTTTTTTTTCATTTTCCATAATTATTACAGTTTATCTTCATATTTGTTAAATTATGAAACTTAACAGAAACAGAATAAATGAATGAATCGTTCTATTTAGAGGCGAAACCAGTTACTAAGTGAAAGTAGCTGTGCATATATATTTATCGGAATAGTGATTTCAACACAATTTAATTTAAATTGTATAGTAACAGACAAAAAAAATACAAAAGTGGACAAATTGTATCAATGATTTGCGAATTGCTGAATTTGTTTGTGTCGTACAACGACAATACTTAAAACATTGCTGGCAAGCGATACGATGGAAATGATGTATGTTAACATAATCCTTGCTGGCGACAGTCTGACATCCAAAATATGGGGCCCAGAAGCAAATGAATGTGTCTACTTCATCTGCAGCATAACCATATAAAATTCAGATTGACATTAATATTGGGATTGAATATATTTTTGAATTACCAGTTATTGTATAACCATCAATAACGCAGCCAGCCAATTTTGTATCCGAATCCGCTATCTCGAATGTGGTTATGGGACGAACTATTTCAGAGTCAAACAACGACATCTTAAAGGGGGCCCAGCCCGTTCTGTTAACTTCACAAGATCCGCTGTATGCGCTGCAGTTGACGCATTCATTGTTCGATACATTTCCAGCATCTATAATGAGAGATACAGTTATCTTATTTATATAAAGTGTTCGTTATTACTATTAGTAATAAGTAGAAAGTTCTCCAGTCGAAAGTGCCCGATCCACAGCCCATGCACGTGATTAGGGGCGCCTATAAGTGAGTGTGTGCGTTTGGATGCGCGAGTTTCTAAATATATCCATATCGGGAACTTTCGACTAAAGCATTAAATTAATAATTAATAATCTCCTGACCACTTTCTGTAAGGAAACTAATAATTCCAAACAATATAATAGGAAAGTAGTTTGTCATTTTAACCATTTTGTTCAAAAATATAGCTTCAAGGCATTCTATGTTTCAATGTTATGGGTAATCCTTGTTTTTTGTAATTATCTTGAAAACGCACCAATTAGAGATAGTCCAGGGTTACAAGATTCATTATCAGTCATTATAAAAAAAAATTATTTTAAATTTATGTGTTATCTGCGTTCTGTTTAATATAAGAATAGGCAAATTTTATAGGATTACTTTTCAGTTTCAGTGACTCAATCCATATATGTATTTACATTATATCAGTTTGTACTTGGTAAGTCCGGGACTTGGAATTTTTTTAAACGACGTCGGCTATTACAACTATTGTCAAGTAGGCTTTTTGCAAGAATATTATAGCATCAATGCATTCCATACATTTTAATTTACTTTGCAGGCAGCAAAAGTTTCGAGTATCCAGCTCTATAGATGGATGATATATAAAGTCGCAAAGTCTCAATATAAAGTCTCAAGACATACACGACTAAACAAACTTAGCTTATCGCCTTAAGTAGAAATCTATATACTTTATGGGCTCTACCACACCTCCTTCTGCCCGTTACATATGTTTTCTGAAAACCTTTATACCCTGATTTAGTAATTTGATTTAATTTGATTTCGTGAATAAACATATATATTATTATATATGTAAATAAAGTATTACACATTTCGGATTTGATATACTTTGGACTTGGGCTACTTCCTCCTCCCTTAAAAATTCTCAAAAAAATGTATTTCAATTCAATCAAACCGACTAGACATCAATTGTTTATTGTCTATCTTACTATGGGCAATTAATAGAGCATAATAGCTCAGCTATTCTCAACAAACACAGAATTGTATACATAATATACCATTCCTAAAAACATATACATTCAGAAGTAAATATAGAACTAGAGGTCGGCATATCACGTCGATAGATCACAAACAACTTTAAAAAACAGACTTGATACTCATATATTCATTTCGAGCATCCCCCATTTTGAGAGCAACATCAATGAAATAAAAGTTGTCATGTGGAGAGAACGGGAAACCCGCTCAGTACAAAGCTCGACACAGCCGAGCGATAAGGGCGATAAGAGGCTGATTTATTTTTGGTTCGCGTCCGTTGGAAGATACAATGATGCGACCACCGAAATCGGCAAAATTTCGGTGCGATAAGAAGTTCATCAGTACTGAGGTTCCATGACGATAAGGTAGACGGTTACACGTCGACTGAAGTACTCGCTAAGGCTGCTGCAGTTACCATAGATACCCGATTCCGAATTCGGATCCCAATAATCAATTAGTAAGCGCTGATTGTAAATTAGCAAACATTGACAGACAGTCTCGGGCCGCTTATCGCAGGGCGAGCGATCCATGTCAAGGGCTATCAATGCGCCCTCTGCCGGCAACGGCAAACGCATCGGCATCGGCATCGTCATTGACTTCGGCATCGGCATCTACATCGACATCGACATTAGCAGCGGCATCAGCATCAGTACTTCTCAGTCTGCGGTCGAGATCGTCGATCGTTGTCATTGAACACGCTCGAAGCACAGACGTCCAGCAACGGTCCAGCTGAGCGGACGGTTGTAGTTCAAGGTATTAGCATTATGTTCCCGCTGCTGAATCATTCGGTCATCGTGGTGTGCCGTTGCTGCCTGGTGGAACAGCCGGAGCAGTGCCACAGCATTGGCGACAATGATCAACTGCTTAGCCAGCTGCTCACGCTGTCGCCCACTCTGCAGATCGTGCCCAGCGATGTCATCTGCCAGCTCTGCCTGCATCGACTCCATGACGCCCTTGACTTTCGACAGCGCTGCGAGGAATCGGAGCGCATTCTACGCGCCCGGAACGAGCAGGCCTTGGACGATGCTCTCGAGTGCCTCGAGCGGGAGGTTGGATGCCTGGAGCAAGCTAAATCCATGTCCTTGTCCTCGTCCATGTCCACGTCCATGTCCATGCCTATGTCTGTGTCATCGCTGCCGGAGCCGGTTGACTTTGGTGAGTGAGCTGAATAATTGATAAGCACATCAAATTAATTAGCCTAATAATAAACGTGTCAAAATAGAATTAATGTTGAAAAAACCTTATCAAAGGAAAAATCTGCATTCGTAGGCCCATTATCAAGGCAACATCCGCTTGAGCTAAACACAATTTATGCTTAAACTTTAAACTTAAACTGTTAACTTACTTACGTTAACTAAAGCTAGAAATTGTCTTAGTTACTTTGTAGTTCATATCTGTATACAAACTAAACATTTTAATCAAATCAAATTGCGAAAGGCTTTTATTGATTGCAATCAGTTTATCAGGAGGCTTCAATAAAATCCATTTAGTATATTCCACTGTACAGTTACATCATTTAAGAGTGAGAAGAAAGAGCGAGAGTGAGAGAGAAAGAGAAAGACAGAGAGACCCAAAAAAAAAATAAATAATAATTATAATTAGCCTCGATTAAGAGATTATATATTTTTTCTTGGACTTTATTCCTCTGTCAAATGCAGAACTAAAAAACTTTGTGGGAAACATTAACGTTTATATGAGTTATTTATATATATATATAAATATAAATATAAATATTTTATATTATCTTATGTCCTTATGAGAGTAAAAGAGATTTTCGCTACTCAAGAACTCCAAAAACAAGTCGTAAAAACTTTCAAAAGATATTGATAAGTTCCGTTAAAGATGACAGACTGTGCTTATTAATAAGTCTGGAAGATTTCTTTTCGCGCGCATATCCCTCCCTCCCTCAAGATTATTCAGTAAATCTCTATATCTTTACTATATAGAGGAATGTCAATTTGCAATTTAAATGCAATTGTTGAACCCCTCAACCCAGTTCAACTATATTCTCTTATCCTGTATGCAGTTCACATATATTTCTCATTTTGGGGAAAAAAAAAGAAGTAATAATAACATTATTAGCGAGTCAGATAATATTAAGGCTTAGCTGTGAAAGACAGTGATTCTCGATCCCATAACTGACAAACTTAGCTAAGAGCTCACTAGATATTTGGTATCCTATACTCTCCCCACTGTATATAGCGAGTATAAGCAAAATATTGAAATAATATAATATTAACAATCAATCCATAAATAAATATGATATTTATCTTACTCTGCAGGTTCGCTAGATCTGTCGGATTTGTTTCGCGGCAATCAGGAGCAGCCGAACACAATGATTGCCACCTGGGACGCTGACATCCTAAACACACCTACCCATTTGCCAGGTGACCTGGAACCATTGAAGCCCGCCGAAGAAGAAAGTGCAGCCGAGGGCGCGAAAGAGGAACAGAATTGTACGGCAGATCTAGCTGTGCCGCCCAAGCGAAAGAGGGCGCCTCGCAAGGCAGCGGCCAAATCAGGAGACAGTGCGAAAGGGGAGCGCAGCAGGACGCCAAAGTCGCTATGTCCGTGCACTGAGTGCGAGAAGAAGTTCACGCGTAACTTTCAACTGAAGCTGCACATGATATCGGTGCATGGGCTGGGCGATGGGCTGCGCTACAAGTGCGAGGTGTGCGCGAAGAGCTTCGCATCGCGGCACAGCCTGCGCTATCATTTTACATCGCTGCACTCCACCGAGCGACCGTTTGTCTGCGAGCTGTGCGATCGACGGTTTGTGCTGCGCACCCAACTGATCTCGCATGCCCGTATGCACACGGGCGAAACGAAGCCGCGCATCTTCGACTGCACCGTGTGCGGCAAAACGTGGCCCACCAAATCGGATCTGCGCACCCATATGCGCTCCCACGATCCGGACATGTCCAAGCGACCCTACAAGTGTGATAAGTGCAACAAGGCCTTCTTCACGCGGGGCCACCTGAACTCTCACCACCTGGTGCACACCGGCGAAAAGCCCTACGCCTGCACCTACTGCGACAAGTCCTACCAGAGCGTTGGCAATCTAAACAATCACACATTGAGGCAGCACTCGAGTCTCATCGAGACGCAGATGAATCTGAAGTACGGCGACCTTGAGAGCTAAGCTCGTTGTCATTAGTTTCCCTTTGAAAACATCTTTAACAAATAATCATGTTTCCGCCTACTAGAAACTCAGTTATTGTCTAAGGAATCGTACATCATAATTTCTACATAATAATTAGAATTTGAACTTATTTTGCAACTATATTTTGTTAATTGAAATCTGTGAACTTTGACAAATGATGCAATTTGTAACTATCTGTCTGTAGGCCGGGTAGAAGTATTAGATTTTTCAACACAAACATGCAAAGAATATTTATAAATTCAAATATATAAGAAAATATATACACATCTGTATGTATATATAATTGCTAATAAATATATGTATATACAAATATATATGCATTACATTTCAATAGTCTTTACGTTTCAAAACTAATTAAGCAACAAAACTATGTTAAATTATTTATTAGGCATAATCAAATTATATATTTATCATTTAAATCAAAAATAAAGTAAAATAAATCAATTGAAATTTCTATTTTTAATCATTATTAATTTTTTTTAGGTATTTCACCACATCAAAATAAATTTTAAAAAAATGACTATGAATATATACATACATTATATACATACATATATATGTTTGAATTTTGGTTGTTTGATGGAAGCACTCGTTTAAAATCTTATGAAACGCCGCTCTTATCGCTCATAAAACATCTTTGTATACTTTTCTATAATCAATATGTATATGTACATCATTAATTTTATGTACGAAAATAAAATATGCCATACAATAATTATAAATAAAAATTAAAAGTAAATAATTGCCACAGATTATGCAAAAAAAATCAGAATAAACTAATAAATAAATATACAAAAGTGACCGTTAAGAAAGCGCAAGTAATGTTCCAGCAATTTCGCAAAAATTTGTTTGCTTTTATTTTTTTCGCTTTACTTATCACTTACAATACTCTATAGCTCTGAGAGTATACACTGAAAAGTCTCTGAGGCTCGTTGACTATATTAAAAATGTTTAAGAAACATTTTCATATTTCATTTTCTATTATACGTTGAGATCTCGATGTGCATTACTCTTTTGTTTTCCGATTAATTCTCTCCAAGTATGCAAAGTGAACAAATTGTCCACATTAGATTTAATAGTCTCTTATAATCCTATAATATATGTATTTTATATAATATTTCTAAAAATTCTTTTGATGGTGTTTCCTATCAAAATAATAATAATTAATTTCCGTTAAAATTCTTTATTGTTTTACAATTGAATTTTTCTTGGATATGCTCAATCTCCAACATTTCACAGTTCATTTACTTGTAGACTTCTTAAAGATTATAAAAATACATAATTATTCCAGATTGTTCAAGGGTATAAGCCTTAAAAAATTTTTCACTTCTTGAAGTGCGAAAATAATGATTATTGAATCAATTTATTTTAATGTTTTTGGACCGTAAGCAATCAAATAATAATAATAATATATTACTAATAAAATGACACTAAATTTCCGCATTATCTTAGCTCAAACGCCGCTTTAAAATAAAACTTATCAGCACGGAAAATGCCCAAGCTCAATAGAATATTTATAGAGCATACTGAGTACGACTGCCTTCATTGTGCTTCGAGAGCTCAGTATACCTATACCCATATGCATTTTTTATTATACCCTGAGTTCATTAAAAATGGGGAACTCAGACTATGATGGGTTTGTGGAAGAAGGCGTGGCAGTCCCCATATAATGTTTATGTTCTTACACACTTTGAGCTCGTGTCGATCTCAGTCTGTCTGTCTATCTGGCCCTCTGTATGAGCTCGGCTATCTATTCATAAAATTGTACTCCAGTCATACCACACGCAGCAATTAACACTTTTTCGTTAGTTCTTTATTATCAAAAAATTATTTTTATTTTTACGTAACTTTAGAACCAAATAAATGTAAACAGATATTTCGAATTTCGGATGCGCTTATCAGCTTATCAGCTTCTCAGGGGTATCAGGGTATCTTATAGTCGAACAGACTCGACTAGAGCACTCTTGTTAAAATATGTACATATACAAATATGTATATATAGAAAAGTATGTATAGTGTACCCGCTAACTAGATGTGTATATACATACATATACATATGCCGGTTCCACTATCAACGCCTTTAATCAAAACAAGTGCCTGGCAGTCTGATCGTAAACAAGCAAAGACGAGGCATCCAGAGCATCCAGAGAAGAGACGACCGATTCACTTGCAAAGACAATTTTCATTGGTTTCAATTACAAAATGACCAGAGAATAACAACAACAGCATGAGAACAACAACTACAACAATGGAAAATGGCATAGTAACGAGACATGCCATAATTATGAGCCAGAAAAAGTGTTAATCCAATTAACTTTGATTTGACACCGGGAAGTGACCGCCGTCGAATGGCCTAGGTCAGCGATTCGTATAGCCAGGAATGCGTAGAAGACGATAGCTCGAGAGCTCTTTCCACTGACTCACTGTCGATAAGATGAGATAGCCTTGTCACCCTCGACTGCGGGGCTAATCACGAAGTATATCTCGCTGGACATTTCTCTAAAGTGTTTACTTGTGTGCCCCTTCACAGACTCGCATAATTAGTCATACCGTATGAAAAGTGCCAATTATTACGCATCGAGGCGTGTGTCCTCCGGCTAGGTACACCAAGACAGCCAGACATTGACCCAACCCTACCCAGGTTGCCGGGCTTTGTTGCCATTGTCTGCGACTCTCACGTCACGTATTTGCCAATACGTGATCTTTTCGTTCTAGACGATGCCTTTTATTTCAGATTGTAGATTTGAAATTTTTCAGAAGACATTACCAACATCATTTCAAATTGTTTTCCTCAAATTATGCTCATCACTGAACATAAAGTTAATAGAACTGGGCTGGGAATAGAAACTGAAATCTTAAAATTCTTTTTTCTACGATTTCTGCCTTCTAGGTTAAGATAGAGCCCGTCTCAAGATTCATACTAGAAAATATGAATATATACATTCTAAAGTCTTATAGTTACTACAAGCAAAAACCAAGATATAATAACGCCAAAACTGCTGATGTGCAATAATTCCAACATGATAACGGTAATACAGACACTCAAGGTAATAGAAAGACTAAACGAATATTATGTTCTAGAATTCATGTTTTTGCAAGTGTAGGGAACACCCAAGGTGGACTATCAAGAACTCTTGGTACATGAGAGCCTGGAATGTGGAGCGAAACCTTAACAGGACAATCCAGGAGGTATTTAGCAAATAGACAAATGTACTTTAGAGCTAGAAACGGACGCCGCACCAGTACTGGAAAAGATTTAAACGCCGCTAAACTGAATCTCAATTTAACCAAAAATGTATCAATTATATTGCAAAACTTATCTGGATATGTTAACTGCATCCTAGTTACTAAATATTGTATGTTTCCTTCCATAAGCTATGTATTAGATCTTAGATCCTATCTTGTTTAGAGCTTTAATATTATGTTTAAAATACAATATTATATTCACATTTATTGTCTAAGCTCGGAGGCCAACGAAAGGACTATAATAAATATTAATGCGTCTGCTCCTCTACAGACCTATAAGCTATAGTACGATAGACAGACGGTAACTCCCGGCTGTCGGAATATCATTTCATTTGCTTACAAAATCACTTCCGAATGAACTATTCTACTATTAACTGAACTTCTATTGCTCATTCTAATCCATCGATGTCAGATTATGATGGTTTATGACGCAGTTCCTGCCATTCCGCCTGCATCGCAGAATTGACGAGTCGAACTCACGTGATTTCTCGAATTTATTATACAATAACAACAATAGCACACTTAACAGCTACTTCCCAGCTAGTTAGGGAACTCGTTTGGTAATTACTTGTGAAAGTCTTTCGGCGGACGCTGCGAGAAGAGCAGGCGTGCCAGCTGCGCTTGCTGCTGGGCGCAGAGGCTGCTCGAAGGCTGGTCCACGGCCGACTCGGGCGTCACGGACTGACGGACGAGCTCCCTGAGGCTGGCCGAGATCTTGGCAGTGCGGAAGCGCGCCTCGTGCTTGCGCTGGCGGCAGTCGACAAAGCGTTGCGATTGCTGCCGCTTGCGCTGGATGTCGTGCTGCAGTTGCTCACGCTTCAGGCGCTCCGATAGCTGGCGCTCGCGCCAGTGCTCCTCGTGATGGAGCTGCTCGAGCTGGTTGTCGTGCTGGAGCCGCTTCAAGTAGCTCTCTAGCAGCTGCGAGCGCAGCTGATCCGCACGGCGCAGTCGCTGCGTGAGCCGCATGCACGTGTCACGCTTGCGCAGCGTCTCGTCCAGCTGCTGCTCCTCCTGCTGCAGACTGACCGCCTCGCTGCGACGCGACTCCTCGCAGCGTCGCTGGCAGAGCGTCAAGTCGCGCTCCAGGCGCATCGCCGCCAAGCGCTGCTTGGCCGCCGCATCCTTGGCGTCCAGGGCGCCGCGCAGCCGCCGCAGCTCGGCCAGATCGCGCTCGGCCAGCGCCTGCAGCCGCGCCTTGGTCAGCAGGTAGTCCTGGAACTGTTTGTCGTGCACGGCGCGCTTATACTCCTCCAGCTGCTCGCACTTGAGCAGCTGTCGCTCCAGCCGCTCGTTCTCCCAGTATTTGCGGGCCAGCCACGCGTGCTCCTTGTCCGCCGCCCGCTCGCTCCGCTTCTCAGCCATGCGATTCAGTATCCTCTGATCGTGGCTGGGCACTCGCTCAAAGGCAGCGCGCACCGTCGGCGCCAGGCACAGGTTGGCCATGGAGGCGCACAGCGAGCTGTGGCCCTGCTTCTGGCCCAGCGGCACCAGCGACATGTTCTCCTGCGACTTGGACCTCGCTCGGCTGCCGCTGATGGCCAGCGTCGAAGCATCGCTACCCCTAAGTGAGCCGAACACAGTCTGCAATGAGACGAAGACGAGATTTTTAAGCCAATTGTACAAAATTCTAATACTGGGAATGGGAAATCAATCAGCTTCACAGCTTCAGATATACTCAAGGACAACTTTGCGGATTTGAATTCAGGATACTCCACGGGCAGTTTATCTTCATTGCGAATATCTGCACGAGTCGAACTCTATCCTATCATAGAGTTGGGCTTATTTGAGATAACTACTTAAGCATTTGGTAAGTCCGAATTAGATCATACTAGTTAGTATATAGGCAATATATCATGGCTAGCGCCTAGAGCCCTTGTCTGCAGGCATGTGCAACTGCAGTATGTAAAACGAGTCGATAACTGACAAGTTACCCTTTGATATGGTCTATAACATTCAACTCAACTGACTGACTCGCAAATATTTGAATGAGGAAAGAGAAACGAGTTAACTGCTATTCATTTTACTATCGTTCCTGTTTTTCCATTCCTGCCTCCGCCAACTCTTTCTCCATTACGTTTTCGCTCGATCTGTCAGTCTGTCTCAGTGACTCAAACTAGATACCTTGAAGTTTCGTAGCCTAGTTCTATACTCGTTGGTAGCCCAGTTTTGGTGTACAACATTGAGAGCTAGAGTTGTGCTAGATAGACATATCTGCAATCAAATTGGGCGTGGCAAATTAGGTAACAACGTATCCTCCACAGTCATAGAATGAGAGCTCGATAGCTTACCATGTGGAATACTGCGGACCCGTTCTATGCATCGACCTATATATTCAATCCACATGACCTGAAAAATCGAGGGTTTCTATCAAGAGCTACCTTAAAAGGTAAGGTCAACCTTTCAAGGCCCAAATGTCCTTCGAACTTGGTATTCCTTGGCAACACCTTATTTTTGCTGAATGATAGAATTCCTAGAGTTATTAAGGTCCTGTTTAGCCGTTAAGCCGTTTTATGACAAAATAAAATACAATAAATATGAGACCCTAAATATTAAAATGATGGTATGAAGATGATATGGAGATACGGACGAGTCTCGATAATTCGAAATGACAAGGGAATCAGTTGTTTTCGAATTACACAGAAATTCAAATTATCGAGAATAATCGAGTATGAATATTTTACAAGTCTTCTACTACAAGTCTGCCACTACTACTACTGTATCAAGTTCTGGTAGTTGGTTATCGGTGTCTGTTCGGATGAATAAATAATCATAAATAACCATAATCATTCAGTGAACGATTTCAGATGCTCTGGTCAGTTCAACCTCGCGCTTCCTCCTCCTCCCCATCCACGTCTCACTCACCTGGAGCATTTGGCAGTCGCGCAGGCCGCCCGTGCGACCAGCTCGCTGCTTGGAAGGTTTCTCTTTGAGCCCCGCCTCCTGAGGCTCCTCCCGGGACGGGCAACGTTGGCTGCCCGCGCTCTTGGAGCGCCTGCCCCTGGACGCTGTCGAGACGCGAGTGTGGCACTCGGCCGAGCCGCGTCGACTCTGCGGGATTCGGGGATGCTCCGCTGGGGACTTGGAAGCGCTGATTTGCCTGATTTGCCTGCTGTGACTGCGCACCCGACTGCCGTCTCTGTTGGCGCTGCCCTCGCCGCGCTGCACCTGCTCCAAGGCGCGTATCTGTTGATCCAGTTGCTTCAGCTGCGTCTCCGTGCTCGCAGCGGGTTGTCCACGTCCACTCGCATTGCTGCTGCTGTGCGAACTGTAGCAATCGCAGTGGCATATATCGCAACAGCTATCCGCCAGCTCCAGGGCAGCGAGCAGCTGCTTGTGCTGCTCCTTGGCGCGACTCTTGCCGCGCTGTCGCTTCCTCTTGGGTGTCATCCCGCTCAACCGTCCATCGCCTACTCCAGATGCAGGCCAAACTCTTAACTCTCAGCTCTATGGCCTAACTTCTTAGCTGGCGCAGCAATTCGAGCTGCATTCCAACTGAACTTTTTGGTATATTAATTAATCTGCTCGTAAACCCAAAACCCAAAACCCAAATTCCTGCGCACCTGCAGTGGCCTTTTCTAGCTTCGATTTAGTTTTGTTTACTTTTCTATTGATTGGCCATTCGCCCGTTGCCCTTGGCAACGAGTTGTCGAGTTATTTTTATTTTGACTTTGGCTTGCTTCGTGCCTTTCATTCCTCTTCTTCTTCTTTTTTGGAACACTTTCGAGGTTTTCCGCTGATATTTCTGACCGGAAATTAGCTGTGCCAATTAGACCACGAGAAGTGAAAGGAAGCTTTTCGAAGGACATGTAAGCATAGAACTTCAACTATTTACAAAATTTCTAAAAAACTTCACGCACGCAATGAAAGAAAATCTATCGAAATTCGAGTTGAAGTAAAGATCTATAAAACTAATTCGATATACACTCTAATATGGAATATACATTTAACATAATATATAAACATGGCTATCTAAATTATAGACATCATTAACAAAGTTAGTCTTACAAATTGTCTATTTAATTATGTATATATGTAACATAAATATTGAAATTAAATTATTGGTTTGGTATACAAATGTCTGCACATATTTCTATATTATGGAATAAATAACGTACAATAAATAACATCCCAATTTCCTTCATATTCATGGGAACGAACATATGTGCAGTTCCTAACAGATAGATAGGATTTAGGGCTTAGCCAAACATGCTTGAATAGGGATCGCAAATAACTTACATACATACACACGATTTACACCATCAATGCTTGTCCTAATACTGACAATAACCACGGAATAAATTCATAACAATAATAATGAAATCATAAATACATATCGTTCAATCTTCTACTAAGTAATATTGCTCTGCTCGTCTACTTTTGCTTCTCAGTTGAGGTTAGTTCTGGTGTAATATATAGAAAGGAAAACGAAATGCTTGTGTTCGCGCGAAATGCCTATTCGAAAACTAAAGGGATCGAGGTGAACGGAAGCACCGGACAAGACGGCTCCAGCTGCAGCGAGGTGGCAAAGCAGTCAGCAGATGAACTGTAATCTCCTAGTGTTTCCATAACTTGGCCCAGCGAAAACCTGCAAGATCAACAGCTGAGCATTTAGAACTTCTGAGTTTGGCGCATTCTTTAAACACTTGCCATATCTTTGGACAGTTGGGATCCAATTTAGCGGCGTCCTTCAGCATTTTCTCAGCCAGCCGCGGCTCGCCCAGTATTAAATGCGTCTCGCCGAGAGCGCGCAGAGCTTCGGTATGATTCGGATTGGCGGCAACGGCATTCAGAAAGCATTGCTTCGCATCCAGCCATTGCTCCAAATAAACATGCACCTGACCGCGCTGCAAAGTGCATGTTAGAAATATGATGCTGTTGATGAGTTACGCGACAGGCCAACTCACCATGAACATAATTTGATGCGAGAGCGGGTATATCTGCGTGGCTTCGTGTATGCAGTTGAGCGCCTCATTCGGTTGGTCGATGCGCATATAGACATCGGCGAGCAGCAGCCAGATCTATAGAAGGACATATATTTGATTAATGTTAGCTATACGACATGATTTACAGCAGTGCTCAATAGCCCACCTCGATTTGCAGCATCCAGGGACGGCGCGGCCCCGGCCTCTGGGTGAACGAGCTCAGCGAGCTAGCCGCCTCACTGAGAGCCTGTTCTACGCGCGAGACTGCGGCCAGCGAAGCAGCATACACGGAATCTTAAAGTTGCGATAACAAGTGAAACGAGAGTGAGGAAATTTGTTAAATTAACCAACTCGAGTTGGAGAGTACTAAAAACAACAGTATATACAATAAGTAAACGTGCCTAAATTTAAAGAAACGCATGCGAGAGGTTGCAAAGAGTTTTAAGAGCAGGCAAGCAGAAGAGATAAACGAGAAACAATTCGAAAGGCAGAAAGAAGAGGGAGAAAGAGAGAGAGAGGGGGGAGAGAGGGAGAAAAAGAAAGAACCACAATGCAGAAGCGTAAAAAGAAGCAGTTTATACATTTGCAAAGAGATATTCCTCGATTCCCCTAATATTACTACAATCGATCCCAGTTGAAATTTAATCCACTTCAGAACTTCAGAATCTGAATACGAAATGAATCTGAATTGAAAACATTTTTGCACTTCAATTTTTGAAGTCACTCTATAATCAAATATTTGCCGATCGGACTGTGAAATAGAATATTTCATAAGTAAATTGATCCTCACGGAAATAATCAGGCGGTGAAATACACAACAATATTATATCAAAATAGAAGATATAAAAATACAATGCAATTTGAGGATTTATATTAATTCGCATGAAAGTTGCATACATAAATTTAAACATTCTAAAATAGATTCTTTTTGCTATGACTAATGCCAAATATTGATGCGTATATGAATAGAACATTGAAATTTTAATAATATGAAATATAGCCCAGGCATTTTGTTTATTTCTATAATAAATGCTCCCAATTAAATTTCTTTATCAAATATTTCATATCTTCTATGTTTTTTCCTTACCTCATGCATCTATAAACTAGTGAGTTTCAAATCTTCTATCGATCTTTCAATGTGTTCATTGAGTTGCCAATCGAGCTGTCCGTTTATTATTACTTCTCAACGAATACCCTATTAGTATTTCATAATCTCTCCTGAATGTATATCAGATTAGTGGCTCGACATTTCCTGCATCTACTATATAATCTCTATCTATATCTAATTTATATATCATCTATATTGCAATTGTACAAGGACGTCGATACCAGCCGACGTTCGACTCAAGCAATTTTCGTTCTTTAATTTGCAATTAAGACTTACAATTATGTTTTATATTATTTTATGAATGTTTTTTTTTTTTTTTTTTTTTTTTAAGTAGACAGACACATTCCGCAGAAGTTGGGTAGTTACAGAGATGTAATAGATTTATATATATATATATATATGTACGTGGATGTGTATGTGTGTGTCGGTAATGTGTTTTTGTATTTATACAGAATATATAGTTATTATTAGAGGCAGGAGTTGTCATGGGGTCTATTGCGAGGTTATCGCACGACAGAAACTTACTCGAATCCTTGTCGGACATTTGCGACGAGTGAATCAGGTGGATGCCGCTCTTGGTATCCGAGTGCTTCTCCTCCTCACCCGCCAGCTGCGCCTCGTACAGGTCCCGCCAGACGGCGAGCATGTGCTGCACCGTGGAGAGCGCCGTCTCGGCGTCTTCCAGATTCAGCTGGAGATGCGCCTTCACATGGAGCAGCTGCAGATTGTCGGGAAACTCGTGCAGCGCATCCTCCACCACGCCCAGCGCCTCGCGCGGACGTCTCGAGGCCGTCAGCAGCAGAGCGAACAGATGCAGGCAGGGCGCATGCTCCATGCGCAGCGCCAAGGCGAAGCGAATGTGGCTCAGAGCCTCGCCCAGCTGATTGAGGAGCGCGTACTGCAGCGACAGGTAGTACTCGGCCAGGTGATCGTTGCCATCGTGCTGAACGGCACGCTCCAAGGCCTCCAGAGCCAACTTATTGTAGCTGTCGCGATCGCTCTTCAGCGTGGCCTGTACGGCCAGCTGCTGGTATCCAATGCCCACAAAGAGCTGACTCCGGGACGGACGAAGACCTACAATGTATGTGAGAGTGAGAGAGGTAGAGAGGCGCAAATGAGTAATGTGAATCAACCTGCACTCACCCTTCACTTCCCGCTTGAGCGCTTGCTGCGCATAGTCGAGCCCCTGCTTCACCGTCTCCAGACTCTCGTAGCAGATGCGCGAGGCCAGCAGACAGGGCAGCGGGTCGCCCGGCGTTAGCTTCATCGACTCCTGCAGCACGCGCAGCGCGTACGCGTGCTTCTCCGCGGCCATCAGGCTCAGCCCGTACTGCCGCCAGATGTGCTGCTCGCCAAAGCTGAACTTGAGCGCCTTTTCGAAGGATTCGTTGAGCAGCTGCACCAGACCCCAGCGGATCGTGGCCAGCGCCAGCAGATCGTAGACGGCCGTCACATTGCCCATGGCGTGCTGTCGCGCCTGCTTGAACTCCGGACTCTGCGACAGCACGGTGTCCCGCACAGCCAGGGCCTCGGCAATGAGCAGCAGCAGGATCACTTCCTCCTGCTGGTTGCGCGGCGTGAACTGCTGCCTGGCCGTGTACTTGCGTGGCTTCCACAGCCGCTTGGCTGCCCCGCCGCCACGTAAGGTGCTGCCCCCCGACTTGGTGGTGAATGGAGGCGTGTAGATTGTGCCTGACACGCCACGGAGCAGCACCTCAGCCAGCTGCCGGGCGAGCGTCAGGCGCAACGATTGCGTGGCACGCGTCTCAATGGCATTCAGCATAATGCGATATCTCTCCACGGCCACTTGCAGCTTGCCCGCTTTAATAAGGACGATGGGCGCCCGCTGCAGCGCCGTCTCCAGGATGGCGCCCATGCGGCGATTGACCTCCAGGGTTGCGCTGCTGCTCGGAATGGTGCTGCTGATGGCGAAGCTGCTTGACGACTGCTGCACCCCGGCATTCACGTTCAGTGTGGAGCCGGCAGTGGAATTGTTTGAGGAGGTATTGCTTCCACTCACGATGTCGTACTCCTGCAGGTAGAGCAGACCCAAGTCCGAGGCGCGCTCAAAGCAGCAAATCTGAGCAAGGGTCAAGAGGTTTTGCTTGTCGTTATTGCAGTGTGTGAGCTGAAGCAGCAGGATCTTACCATTTCCGAATCCTTTTCGGCCTTCTTGAACTTGGATGTGGGCTTGTGCGCCTGCTGCTCCAAGCAGAGGCCCTTAATGGCGTACGATTCGGCCAGGATCTTCAAGCTGCGTCTGTTCATATATCAAATTTATATATATATATATATAACAATCAGAAATTATATCAGAATTAGGGAATTACAGTGTCAACTCCTTCTCGGCCAGCGTATTCAGCTCCGCCTTGATGAAGTTCTCCAGACTCTGCTCGTACTCGCCGCAGGCGTAGCAGAGCTTAGCCAGCAGCAAATACGCATCCAAGGCTATGCCCGCCTTTTGGCCACTCTCGCCCAAGGCCAGATTTAGATAGCGCCTCGCTTCGGCCAGGCCATTTTTGGCTCGGCCAAAGGTCGACTCGGCGGCCACAGCATGTTCCTCCAGGTAGCTTTCCAGCCGTGCCTCGCCTATCAAAAAATTGGCCAAGCACTCTGTAAAGCAGTTAGGCAGTTCAGTGATTGATTTACTTTATTTTTATTTAGTTTACGTCTCTTTTACCGTTATGTGGCGATCCCGTTTTCAGCTCGTCCGTCAGCTCGATGACGCGCTGCCATTTGCCCTCGCTGCGACAGCTCTCGATGAGAGCCTCGACCTTGGTCGTGTTGTTGCGCGTGCGATTGGCCATAACGGTTAACTAGTTGATCGGCCAGCAACTTCGTTGATTTTCAATTGGTATAATAATTTCAACTTTTAATTCGATTACAATTTTTGCAACACACGCACACAAGCACACTTACATGCACTTGAACTAAAACAGCGTTGCCACCTGCTCGAACGAACTTTCTCATTACGTCACACACTTAATATGCGTTATCGAATACAAAAAAATTCGCTGATATAATAATAGCGTGTTATATAAAAAGAAAACTCATCTCAATTTGAAATGGCGGACTGTCAGTTGTCAATTTTAAGCACAGACTGTTCTCACATACAACATATGAGCTCATGCATTGAGCAAGCGGCACCCATGAAAGTGCACAATATGACAATCTTCTATTTATTATCATGGGAATGCTGCCACTGCAAAAACAGCTGTTTGTCAAATTTCAGCCATTTCAGCCATTCTTTGAACATATTTAGTATTTTCTTATCGATTATTTGGCATTTTTTTGCTCAAGCAAAGCAGGCACTCTCAATGCAGTTCCCATTTTGTTGTTGTGCGATATACACTATACTTGGGTAAAAGCAGCTCATTGAGGTGAACCGGCTCACTCGCTCTTTTTTGTGAAGTGAGCCAACTCACTCATATGGCTCACTGGCTCACCTGCTGATTGCCCGTGAGCAAGCAACTTGAAAGAAAAAAACTGTCAAAATACGTTACATTTAAACTAAAAAAAACGACATTTAAAATTTGTTTCTTAAAACTAACAGAACAAACTTTTAATAAAATATATATTATTTTAGCTCCCTTCATTGGGAATATAATGAGCGAGTGAGTAAAAATGCGCTAGTCAACCAAAATGAGCTAGTGAGCCAAAATGAGCCATATAGAAGGAACTGGCTCACTGCCTCAGTTCAGTGAGCCATTCATTTTAGCTCACTCACTCATGAGCTACCCAAGTCTAATATACACGCGTTGTGCTCAAAATTTTCTTAAAATATGAAATAAATACAAATGCGGCATTTTAGTGACAACATTTAACGCTACTTAAGCGTGCCGCTTTTGAGTTAGACAAATAAAAATCAAGGAACCTAATAATTTGACAATTTCATAAGGCAGGCGATCGACATACCATTGAAAATTGTAGATTCAATTGAACCTAATTACACAAATAACTTTATTTAGCTGTGCAGCACTCATAAAATAACGGTAAGGAATTTAGTCTGTTTATACTTTGCAATTTAGCTAAAAGCACAAATACATGCGCACTTACGCCCAAAGCGCAGTGTGACCGTGCGCATGTAAAAGCTAATGTATGAATATATATTTATATGTGTGTGTGCCGCTGTTAGGCTAACGCTCAGCTGTTTCGTTGTTGTTGTCGCTGCGGACGCCGCAATCGATGCATACATATTTGTGTGTGTGTGTGTGTGTGTGTGTGTGTGTGTTCAGGTTGACTACTGAGAAAGCGAGAGTATTTGTTACGTGCAATTAATTTCGTGTATTTCTTGCAATTTATCCATTCGATTTAAGGTAACAATCACCTCACCCCTTTCACATTCTTATTGAAAAGCTGTCACACACACACACATATGAGCTTTCGATTTGCATTTAACTCTTGCTGGCATTTTAGTCAAGTTCAATTGTTGCAATTCGTAATTTTTATTTTCTGCCAATTTTACGCTCCATTTGAGCAATAAAAAAGAGCGCTCAGCTTTTATCGCGTGTCTTGTCGAAGTTGATGTTAATTGCCTGAGCTTTTTGCATGTCATTTTATCCGACTCTGGGCCATTAGCGATTCATTGCATATTCTAACGTAAAGACAACAAATAATTATTAAAAACAAATATTTGAATACGCACTCAAAATATATAAACATTTACATATGGTGAAAGAAGTCAGCAGATGACCGAATGTTCTCACAGTGCGCGCCAAATTAAAATCAAAACAAAATGCAAAATAGCGGTAAACGCTGACATCTAAAATGGGTTTGTGCATGTGTGTGTGTGTGTGTGTGTGTGTGTGTGTGCATTGTCGTCTCTCTCCCTAACTCTCTTTTTCATCGAATGTGTGTGTGCTCGCGCAGGCTTATGCGAATTTGCAACGATGATTTACATGCTTATGACGTAATGACATGATGATAATTACATCGCGAGTAGTCTCAACGTCAATGAAACAAAAACATGGTTAGCTTGGTCGATGAGTGGAGGTATCATTATGTCAAATAGAAGTGTGCACAGTGGTAAGCAGCTGCTGAAAACGTGTCATAAAATAGTATGTCATATAATAGTAAAAACATTAATAAAATTGTCTTTTTTGTATTATATGTATGTAAATGCATACAAATATTGATTTAATTATATATGTACATAACATACACACATTTCCCAGCTATGACTTCTCTTTGTCCGCTTATCTCCAATTTACTCATGCTGTTGCACTGTGCTTCAGTGCAATGCCAGCAGGTGGCTACGATTTGCTTGGGTATGTACATATGTGTATTTGGGGATGTGGAGCAGACAATTGTTTAATGCGTTGAGAGTAGCCATAGTCGTTGCCGCCATTAGAGAATAACATGCATGATGCGCTTAACGGCATATGTGCGCCAACGTCGCGTCGTCGTTGCTGAAGCGCAGTCGAAGATGTGGGACACAGACAGAGTGGAAGAACCGCGATGTGCGACAGCAGCAGCAGTAGCTTTCAGCGAAGAGTGAGTACTGCTTTTGCGAATTGAAACATCTCCGCCCGCCCACCTAATTTATTGCTCTCTGTTTGACAGTGCGAGAGTGAAACATTTTGGAATGTGAAACGAAGATTTGCTGCTGAGTTTTAAAGCATTGAGCAGTCAGCGTGTTATTTCTGCCGATGCTCTTGTTACCGTTTTATTTTTATATTCCTCTGTTCTTGTGCATACATACATACATATATTTCGACAACTGTTTTATTATTTTTTTTGTTCGTTTGCTCTATGTTTCTCTGTTTACTTTTGTTGTTATAGCGTCACGTTTTGTTGTGCGTTCTTTTATTTGCATGCGACGCTTGGTTTTTCGTAGTGGTATTTATTTGATTGTTGCTTTTTTGGCAGGTGCCAGGCTCCCTCCCTGGAAGACCTGGCCTTAAGTTGCTGCACGTGCCTCTTCTGGGTGCGTCTGTACAAAATTTAATTTGCTTAATATACCCTGTAAGGTTGACAAAGTAATTAAACTTCAAATTGTTGGGAGTTAAATGATATTTTTAAATACTATTCCTATTCCTAAATAAAATTAAGAGTTTTCAATTTAATTATGGGGTATATGGGGTATCATAGTAAATAAGATTTTAATATTATATTGTTTCATTCCTTATGTAAGTATATTTACTAATTGGGGAGATATTCGGGTATACAGGGTATTACTTTTTGGTCATTTTCATGCACTACCTGCATTGGCGTTCCAGTCACGACTTTGAGCTTGTAACTCTGCCATTTAATATGTGCACACACATATACATACTTACAGATGAATACATACATATATATTTTGCGCGCCTTTTTATGTGCTCTCGCCGTGCCAATGCTGTCTGGCAAAGCACCCACCCCCGCTTCAATCCTCTCTCCGCATAACATGTTCTCTTTCGCATTTGGATGGACACATCTGCTGCCACCCTTTACCCTTTCTCTTTCCCATTCTCCTTCTCTTTCGCACTTTCTTGTGCTCTAGCGCTGTCGCGCATCGCTTAGCAAATTACATGATGTCAAACGCTTTTCTTGTGTTTCTTGTTTCTTGTTTCTTTTTTCGCCTTTTCTTTTTGCACTTTAATGGACTTATGAAGCTGAAGCAAAAGCTTTGTTGACCTCCTTTTTTAGGCGACGTCTAACGAAGGCGGCCCCTTCTCACTATTCCTTTGGCTAGCCTTTATTTCAACGGGAACTGTGATGCCCAGCGATAAGGCATTCAGCAGTGAAACCTTGCGGACTTAGTCTTCAATTTACATAGGACTTTTACTCTGTTATCTATTTTTTATACCCTGAACCCATTTTCAATGGGAAATCAGGGTATAATGGTTTTGTTGAAATGTATGTAACAGGCAGAAGGAGGCGTGGCAGACCCCACAAAGTATATATATTCTTGATCAGGGCGACGAGCTGAGTTGATTTGGCCCTGTCCGTCTGTCTGTCCGTCTGTCCGTCCGTCCGTCTGTCCGTATGTATGAACGCGTCGATTTCAGAAGATATAAGAGCTAGAGACTTCAAATTTTTTTTAACATGTTCGTAATTACAGCGCGCATATCAAGTTTATCATTAAAAATCGATAACTCATCCCGATCTTTTTTATCGATAAAAAACCTTATCGAAAACCAGTTATAAAATTATATCTTCTACACCTTTATTGCTAGAGTCTCCAAAATTTTAATGTATGCCTATATGCAATTTATACAATTTCGGTTTTTGTTAAAATTTACCCCCCACCCTTAAGTTCACCCCCTCACCCTCACTTTTGTAAAAAGCGTATTTCAAATACTAGAGACTTGTGCTTTGGCAATTACATGCATATCCATGTCATAATCATAATCTGAAAGTTTCATGAAGATCGTACGTCCACAAAAAAGTTATTAAGCAATTAAGTTCTCATAGTAAGCGCTCACTGCCGCCCATGCGTGTTTATGCTTGTGTGTGTATATGTATGTAATTGTTTGTGTATGTGTGTGTGTGTGTATGTTTGTATGTATGTGTGTATGTATGCCTGTGTGTGCGTGCGTGCGTGCGTGTGTGTGTGTGTGTGCGTGTTTCTTGTGTAAGCTGAAAGACGCGAAAAATTATTGAAATAGCTATTACTCCAAGGGTTCAGGGGATCTCGTAGTCGAGCAGTCTCGACTAGAGCTTTCTTACTTGTTTCTTTTTGAGTCATGTGTGTTTCGTTTGGTCGCCTGTCTTTGCCAGTTTCTTGGTCATAAGCAAGTGGCCAACATAAACATGGCATACATAAATATACACGCAAGCACACACACACTTATCTGTCAGCATCTTGCGCTCTGTTTGTAACGACCACGCCCACCCATCGCAGCATATGCCCTTCGCCGCATACTTTTTATTGCTACAGCGCAACTATCAATAAAGTTCGATTTCGCTGTGCTGCGTTTGCGTGTGTGTGTGTGTATGGTTAAGGCTCATAAATCAAGTTAAGAGAAACGATAGAAAAAATTGTGAACTTTTGTACTAAAGTGCCGAAAGCTAAATACTCTGATAGCTTTATTGCAGCAATTTATACATACATTAAAATCAAATATTAATGGGAAACGTGTACTGACGCATAAATGATTATTTTTATTTTAAACATATAATAGATGAAAGATTTTATATGTTAAATTAGCTCAGATATCATCTTTTCTGTGTTACGTTTTACATTGCAAAATCAATACGCCTTTGGCACGTACGAAAACAAGCGAATAATACAATAAATAGATTTATGTTTCGCTACGTTTTATCCCAATATTCCTGCCAGCAGCACCTACATCTATTGCCCATACTATTTGCCTCTCCTCATCTATCTCTCCATGATGATCGACCTCTCTCTTTCCATTCCGTTGTTTCGCTGTTCCTCTCTGCGCTGCGATTACAGCAGATATAAAGCGCTGACACAGCACAGTTCAAAGAAACACCAACAACAGAAACGATGACGACGCTTGATGTTAACGTCGACCGAGACGGTGACGTCGACATCTCTGCTGCTGCCGTTACCTTATCCACTGCTATTTTGAACATTAACAGCAGAGCCATACCACACACATACGCATACCTGCTATTCCAAGTCGGTATGTATATGCACATACACATGTACAAGTGTATGTATGTATGCATATATGTGATTGTGCATTACATTTTGAAGTTGAAAACTTTTTGTTGTGCTTTATTGCTTAATATTTCATTTGCTGCTGCCAATAAAAACAAGTGAGAACTTTGCTGTTGGGCGCAGTCGACTGCATACTCGTCCACGATCCAAAAGCGGCTATATTTGCTGGATTTTATGTAGGAGGCTAACATGTAAAGAAAACAACATACCCAAAAAAAATATACCCCTTCATTCCGAGTGCGAGCATAAAAAGTTATGACATCCCTACCCTACCTTTTCCACTCATTCGTCTTGTTGCCCATTCGCATTTTTGCTTGCAATTCTTTTGCACAAGTTCATTGTTTTTGTTGAGTCAAAGTCGGCATCTGGTCGAATGTGTACGAATGAGATGGAGAGAGGGACTACGTTTAAAGTTTTAACTTTCAGTTTTCAAAGCTTTAACATACATACATACATATGTATGTGTATTGTATGTACGTTCCTTATTAATTTTTTGTCTAACATATGTATATTAAAAAGTGTATGTTTCTTTCTTGTACTCCTCATCTAAAGTCCTCCGTTACATTTCAAAATGACATCAACAACATTCTGTACATAATTTATAAGAACAGCAACGACAACAACAACAGTTACGTCTGCGTCTGAGTAAAATGCCCAAAGCGCTAAGAGAAAACAAAAGCTAACAGCAGCAACAGCAACAACAACAATAAGAAATATGAATGAAAAGCAGCGCAGCTGCCGTCGCTCTTAAGCGGGGGGAGGCGAAAAACTAAAAATACGAATTTATATGCAAAACATTTTGACTTGCTTGAATTTCAAACATTTTTCGCCAGCTTCATTCCTATGTCTCATGCCTATTAATGTGCCGATGTGTGTGTGTGCTGTATGCACACATGACATACATACATATAGTATGCATACACATAATACATATATATGTGTGTGTTTGTGTATGTAGCTCAAAGCTCCAACAGAGCGCGCCTGCAACGCTAAATGACATTTGACTGCGTTGGCGCAGTCTTCGTATATATACATATATATTGTGTGTGTGTGTGTGTGTGTGTGTGTGTGTGTGTGTGTGTGTGTGTGTGTGTGTGTTTTGCGCTCAGTGCCTCCCATCTCCCATTTGTCCCAGTCAGACCGCAGTTGTCGCCCCACTTAGCGCTCTCCCACACAGACGATTTTTATTTAGTTTGTTTTCGTACTCTCATATTCATTTGCATTTTTATGCGACGACGTCGTCGTCGTCATCGCTGTGTGGTATTTTATTTACTTTGCGTATTTTGAGTTTACAATTTTAGTTAGTTATAATTTGTGGGCAAGAAACACATTTTCCATTCTTCTGAATATGAGTCATAAATTTAATTTATTTGTGCAAAATTGAAATAATTTCAAGAAATGAAATTATAACATAATAAAAATAAAACAATATGAAAATAGCATTTTCGTCTTGTACCCATCTGATGGCAAACGGAATTGCTTGGTACGCTATGGAAATGAAACGTCACTTAAGGCCACCTGGAAGGGACATCGGCTGTGCGCTTTTAATAAAAATGAGACTTCGATTGCTGCATTGTTTATGAGAGAAATTAATGTGGAAAATGTCAAGTACAGTTGCAGTTCAATAAATGAGATTTTTTTGTTTAATAAAAAGCTAACTTCTAAATCTGTTGATGTTTTCTCTTAGTGTTTGATATAGTTGCATATGCCGTACAAACTAATATCCATATTTTGTTCAAACAATATCAATTTATACCTCAGTTCACTAAAAGCTGCGACTCACTGTAATCACGAAGCAACTGATTTAATTACTGTGCACCACGTATTCCATGCCAAGGGCCAATTTATTATAATGCAAGCTGACAATCAATACTTGCATAAGTGTTTATGTGCATAAATGCATACACATACATACATATATGTACGTATGTACATCTGTGTGTATATGACACATTATCCACAATAACCTCTGTCAGTTGCGGCTTCAATCTATGCGCATAAATTCAGCTGAAACTTTTTACTCACCAAACGTAGTTTACCGCTGTTCCATTTCATTTTCATTGCGTTGCTTATAGATTAACGCGATTGGAAAGAGAGCTAGACAGGCTGCACGGAAGTAAGCAGGATCTGTCTGGGTTGCTTCATTGCGGCGCTGCTTTTGTTGTTTGTCCCGTTGTCTTTTCTCTTGTACTTTGAACACATTTTTAATCCACGTTAGTGCATCTGTCACTGCCTCTATGTCTGCCTCTGTCTTTTCCTCTGCCTTTAAATGCAGCGCAACGGTCCATTAGCAAAGAGCTTTTTCTTGGGATTTTGTTTTCAATTTGCTCGCGAATTTGCCAAAAGAGACAAATGACCTTGACAAAACGGCAACTGCAATAAATAGACATACAAACATGCTTATACATATAAATAAATGCGGTTATGCATACATACATACATATGTACATACATAAATATTAGATCATTCTTTAAAATCCCAATGTGAGACGATCCCTTTATGTTTCGTTATCTCAATGCATAACTTTTGTTGGCGGCTGGTCAACGAACCTGCCATGATGTTGCTCCTTTAACAAATAAAACTACAAGAAGTTAGTTTTTGTTTGCAGCAGTAGCAGCAGCAGCGACAAGCAAATAATATTGGTAATAAGTGTCTAAAGCAAACGCCTGCTTGAGAGGTTAGTTTGATGCTAGTTGGGGCAGTCCGTGATTCAGGCGGGACGATTAACACTCGTTACACGCATTTTCGATTTCAACGGAAAAAAAGTAAAACCAAATGCAAACACAGGCACACGCTTACCCAGCCACTCACACATATGTAAGCAAGTATGTACATAAATGAAGCAGCAAGAAATAAGCTGCAAAAGCAATCGAAAACCAAGCGACGATGATTGTAAAGTAGTTGCCCAGCCATGCACAGTGGGTGCAGCACAGCAATATTGAGTGAAAACAAAAGTAGATTCGGAATAAAATCTTAAGGGAGAAACTAATTTTTGTTAGTACATTATAAAAAAAAAAACAAGTAAAAGTACTACAAGTTATGAAACTATTAGTATATTAAATATATGTTTAAAATATATATGTTTTTTTTCGTAAACATTGTGATGTAAACAATTTGACTGCCTGAACGTAAACGGCGCGTCGCGACGCATTGTCGAGTGTCTGTGCGATAACTTTGACAACGATAAATTGTGTTATGCTGCTGGCTGATGTCGCTGTCGACGTTGCCCTCGGTCGTTGCTTTGGCTGTGAAAGAGCGAGAGCACTGTAGAATGGGAGGTGGGAGAGTTGAAAGTTCGTCGTTTGCCACTCCTCGCTTCAAATTCGTTTGCATCACACACTGTGTTCGTCGTCTTTTTTTTTGTTTCTTCTTTCTCTTCTGCACTTGTAGTTTATTATTGTTGTTGCTATTAGTGCTGGAGCTGCTGCTCCCGTTGGTGCTGCTGCTGCGGTTGCTGGTGCACCTCTGCGAAACACACGATGTGGCAATGGCGGCTCACGGAGCGCCGTTCAATGTGCGCTTATCAAATTTGCTATTTATGGTTATGCTTGAGAAATTTGTTGTTGCTGTTTCATTCACTTTTTGCTTTGTGATAACATAATACACATGATACATGTACATATACACACATACATACATACATATTTATTTATACGTTGTGCCGCTCAGCTAAATAGCTTTGACATACATATCTATGTATGCATGTATGTATTTTCAAAACTAATAGATCAACGAACTCTCCGATTTGAGTTAACATGCATTTCAGAAATAGAGTCTCCAAATTTAGCATTTAGTTTCATACATACATACATATTTTCATACATACATATGTATGTATTTCGCCGTATGTATATGTATGTATATCACATACATATTTTGAAAGTTTCATCAAATTCCGTTCAGTCAGAAAAGAACACACACATTTAAACATTCAAGCGGGTTTTCTATGCATGTGCACACATGCATATATACATACATACATACATTCGAATGGCTGCATCCTAGCATATTCTAAGAATGTCAATTGCGATTGGATTGCTTGTTTGGTTAGTTAGTAACAAAAGGCTAAATTGAACTGCAAATAAACTAATTAAGAGTGCTCTAGTCGGGACTGCTCGACTAGGAGATACCCTGAACCCTCCAAGCTTATATTTTAATCATTCTGCACTTCTTTTATGCACATATGCATAGACACGCATTATGGAACAAAAAGTAACGCAAAAATAATAATTTTTATCGATAGTTTAAAAATTGTAATCGAAGTATTAAAATAGCAATAAAATGAAATATATTTTAAAAGTATTTCTTAACAAATTGAAAGATACGTATTATTCAAGATTTACAACTTAGTAATTGCACCAATGTGCGCTGCTATTCCTTGTCCTCTCTCTTATCGTACGTTTGGATTGTCAATAATGCAATCAGTTGTGTAGTTTGATTAAAGAAATATTATTATTATTATTACTATTATATTCGTTCATGCACTGTGCACGAAAGTCTCTCTCTCTCTTTCTCTTTTTTATGTGTGTGTGTGTGTGTTAGTTAGGTCATACGTCGTTTATCGTTTATTGATGTTGCATTTTGTGCCAGAATTTGCGGCTCAGAGTTACAGACAAAATACATATATATGTACATACATACATATATACAAGGTTGCAAGTACATTGGCTGCCTAGTTAAAGAGCTTATCTACTCCATGTAATACATGCACATGCCTCAGTGCATGTACATAAGTATATTTAAATACCATTTTTGTCACTGCCAAGGACATTAAAACTGTTAGATGATAATAAAGTCAGATTGTTTGCTTTTCCATAGCTCCTGAATGGTCGGAGCAATAGACGCTTTCAAAAATTGAATGAAGTCCATATTTTTTTTCAGTGTATTTTGATCTATTTAAAGCTATGCATGTATGTGGATAGACTTGGTTTTATTATTATTAATTTATCGAAGCCAATCAATCTATTGGGCTTCAGTGATTAAAACTTAACGAATAACATTAGTTTCTATCCTAGATATTGGTTTCAAACTTTACAAAGGACAAACGCAAACCTAGATTTAAAAGAGGTTTCTATTAGTTTACTCTCTTGAATAAAAAATGTCGAACTCCTCAGCTCAATTGATTTACTGGATTTGCTACGTTGCCGCACTTTGGGCAGCACATGACAAACAAGTAAGAACGTTGAAGTCGGGCGTTACCAACTGCAGAATGCTCATTCACATCCCATCACCAATTTAGTAGCAGTTTTTCCTGATTTGCCACGCTCCTACTGGGCGTAGACACCTCATTTTTGACCAGTTCCTAAAACGAGCTAACGTTCCAAAAATGTGAAAATGACAGGCGATTTTTCAATATAACACGCCCCTGAAGACGCGTAACAATTATTTTTGGGTCATCGATAGAGGAGGTTAGCAGTATCTCAGCTATCCAAATTTGAAGCTTCTAGCTAATGCTTTTGCGTTTGCCACGCCTCCTGTGGGCGGACATTTATCCGCTAAAGCTTTTTGGTCTGGGGTGGGCAGCCCAAGTATAGTATATACTCAAGTCTCTAGCATCAATACTACCTTAAATATAGCATAATCTAAAAAATATAGTATAAATATCGAAAAATGCATTTTCCGATTTTCCACGCTTTTAGTGGGCGGATTCGGAAAATTTCAACACTTTATAAATCTGAGATATACACGAGTATGTTCTCCAAATTTCAAGTCTAGCTTCAATAGCGGGAAATAAACTGCGTTCAACGGACGGACAGACAGCAAGACGGACGTTGCACAAAACCAATATACTTATTTCATATTCGTGAGTATAATAACGGTAATAACTTGATGCTTTGTGGACATGTGTAACGAAATTAAATGAATCCTAATTAACTTAATACATTGTTTATGAGCGCTCATGTGAAATGTGCGATTGCCATGGGTTAAATACGCACACATACTTGCACGCACACTATTGCACACACACACGTACGTTCATGTACAGTGGGTGCTCAGAGAACTTGAAACCTAATCAAAAACTTTGTTCCATTACCATACCATTCCCTGTTTGCCGAAATAATCCAATTAGCTCTCACACGGCAAAAATGAAAATAGAATAAAAATAAACGAAAATTATCAGCAACACGTAAGCAGAGAGAAACTATGTGTGGGACAAGTTTCGGTTGTATTTGTAGTGTATGTTTGTTGCTGACTACCCTTCATAAACCATTTTTATATGCAGCAAATGCAAAAATTAAAAAGAAAAGACAAAAAGCCAAGAGGAGCAGCAACATTGTATACAATACCACCGCTGCGACGCTTTTGGCACACAAATCTCAATTTAAAACAATCAAATGGAATGAAACAACATAAAGCAACTATAAAAAAATCACAAGAACAACAACAGAAACAACGGCAGCAACAGAAAACAACGTAAAACTGTAAACAAACGAAATATCCACAACTACATGCACACAGTCAAGTGATGGCGTATTCACATGCACGGCGACTGCCGATGTCGCAATACACACAAACACAGTCTCACTTACTCATACTAATGCACAGCTGCCTGCCTGCCTGCTTACCTCTCGATGTTTATTCACCACACTCGGAGCGTTGGTCTTGCCGAAATGTCTCACCGTCGCGACGGTCGTCATGTCGTTCATGCTTGTCAGTCGTTCCGTCGGTTGGTCGGTTAGTCGGTTGGTTGGTCGGGAGGTCGTTTCGTCGTGTTCATGCGTTCCGCCACAATCGTCTACAACGTAATGCAACGCCTTGGCAATGAAACGTTTCAGTTTCTCTTTAAACGCGAGTGTGTGAGGTTCGTCGGTACTGAATGGCGGCATTCGTTCATTTTTTGTTCACCACAAACGCGAACGCCAAAGCAGCTGTAAAAAGACCGACGGCAAAACAAACATGAAGCAGAGCATTAGCCGTGCGTAACAAAGTGACTAAATAGCTAAAAAGCCGACCGTAGGGCAAGGCTAATAAAAGTAAATAAACAACAGCTAAAATTAGCAGTCGCAATTGAATTGCCTTTCCTACATATACACTCAGTAAGTGTAAGTATTGCAGTTAAAGTGTTGTATATGTATATATCACATAAATTGAGTGAAAGTGTAAAAAAGTAAAGGCAAACCAGCAAGAAGAAGAAGACGAAGAATATTTGTCTAAAAAGTGCACAGCTACAATTATTGCAAATGTTCGGTGTATGTGCTGCGCTGCGCGTTAGTTTATTCATCTCTTTGCAACGGCTGCGTTGATGTCAACGTCGACGTCGAAGTCGGCGTTCGCAATGGCATTTGCACGCACTGTGTGACTAGTATTGGTGAACATGCTTGAATTGGTTTGCACACCATGTGCTGAATATTTATGACGCGTTTGTGCCACTGTGCGTGAAAATAAAACGTATGAAAATGAAACGAACGGGCTAACGAGCAGTGAGCAAAAACAACAATAACAACAAAAGGGAACAACCTATAAATAGGAGCACGAATAAATTTATCAATAAATAAATGAGAGTCACACACACACAGCACAGATAAAAATATTATTTATGCAAAAGTTGAAAAAAATTAAAATGAAATGTGCATAATACTGATGTGATCTTAACTGATTGATTGAGAGCGACCATCTGTGTGGGCATGTGTGTGTGTGTGAGAGAGAGAGAGAGAGAGTGAGTGAGAAAAAAAGGGAAGAGTATGAGTTAGTATGAGTGACACGCCCCTTGTAAAGCTAAGTAATTAAAAGATTAATTTGTGATAACTTTATTTGTAAAGTTGTTAAAGTAGTACGTGATATATGTATGTACATATGTATGTATGTATGTATCTAAAATTAATTCTTTACCGTTTTGCACTTTTCTTTCATTAATTGTCAGAGGAAATTGCAACGTTGCCAAATTGCAAATAACTGTATCTACACTGAGCGCCTTAAGTAAGATTGGAATATTTAAACTAAAAACGCGAATTAACACGCAAGAAATTAAGATTTATTTATTGAGTATTGCTGAAAAAAAAAAAAAAATAAATAAAATAAATAAATGTCAATTTTTGGACTCAAAAGTATTCACTGAATTTGATCAGAAACTAAACATGGTATTTCGCACATGTTTGTAAATAGCTTAGAAGAACAACATTAAATTAAGCTGGTATTTCGCACGGTGTATCGTATGCATGAATATGCAATTAATATTGGCTCTCGCTTAATTATTTATATAATGCATAATTGTGAACAACAGCAAAAGCTTTTGATTATTCTGTTAGCATAATGTAATCAGATGTGGTTAAAATTGTTGCACAATATTGAAAAAGTAATTAATATTGCTGGAAATGAAGTTTGCATAAATTGGGATCGCAAAGGGTATTTCAAGCACGTGTTCGCAGCTTTCATTGACTTCATTTTGTGATGTAAATGTGATATTTGTTGCTTAAGTTTTCTTGAATTAATCGAAAAAAAAATGGTCAAGTAACGGCAATTTGCACATCGTCGAGCACAAGTAATTTTAATGAAGTAGAACTAATTTCTAATTAAAAGCACAATAAAAACAAAAACAAAAGCAAAGCAAAGCAACGCAAAGAGGGCAGACTATATTCAGAACAGAGAACAGAGAAGACAAAAAGAAGAAGAATAAGAGAAAACAAAGAAAAGCAACGCAATCGACAAAACTAAAGTGAATATGCAGCGGGAGCAAGCGAGATAGCGAGTAGAAGCTGCTTAGCGACGGCGCTGCCAGCGCTAGCGTCTGCAGCGATGGCAACAGCAGGCAATAACGAGTTTAAAGCTCCCGCTAGCTTGAGCACAGCGCACTTACACATGCAGACATACGCAGAGTGGCAGACAAACAGGCAGACGGACGCAGAGACAGGCAAGGCGAGAGAGATAGAGAGAGAAGACTTTCTCTGTCTGCGTAAAAGTTCCATGCTTTTATTTTTGCCAGCCCAAAAATAATCGCATTATGATAAGAAAAAAGAAAAAAAGCTAAAGTGTTCTGACTCTCGCTCTGTCGTGGTTTTTTCTCTCTCTTTATCTCTCTTTCTCAAAAAAGTATGTGTGGCGTAAAAAGGTGGACAAAATAGCAGCGAAACGGCACAAACGTGAGCTCTGCCGCAGCGTTAAAGCTGCGCTGCAACTGCGGCGCATACAACTTATATGTATTTGCTTTTAATGATTGTGCTGCTTTTTGCTTGCAAACAAATAAAACTGGTTTTCAACTCAATTAAACAAAACTAAATAAAAACAAGTAAGAAAACTCTAGTCGAGACTGCTCGACTAGGAGATACCCTGAACCCTCTAATTTGATATTCTAATCACTCTGCACTTCTTTTCGGCACACATACATACACACGAACGTATTAGAACGCGCTCTGCTAACTGCGCAGTAAGCAGCGACTGCGCTTGGGCTGCGCTGCAGTGTGGGCAACATTATAAGAATTTATTTCTTGAATAAGTTAATTTCTAGACGTACAATGACAACTTAAGAAACATTCAGAGAGTAATCATATGGGTCTAGCTCTAAAGGTGTAGGAGATATAATTAAATAACTAGCTTTCGATAAGGGTTCTAATCGATAATCAAATATCGGGAATAGTTATCGATATATAAAGAAAAACTCGATATGCGCGTGATAGGAAAACAAATTTCAGGCCTCTAGCTCTTATATCTTCTGAGATCGACGCGTTCATACATGCGGACGGACAGACAGACGGACAGGGCCAAATCGACTTAGCTCGTCGCCCTGATCAAGAATATATATAATTTGTGGGGTCTGCCACGCCTCCTTCTGCCTGTTACATACTTTTAACAAAACCATTATACACTGATTTCCCATTTTCAATGGGTTCAGAATATAATAAGAGTGCTCTAGACGAGATTGCTCAACTAGGAGATATCCTGAACTTTGGGAAGGGATGATATATTCTTCATTAAGTTAGGTTATATTTCCTGTAGATGGACCTCTTAATTGAACTTTCAGAACGTAATAATGTCATAAAATAATAGTAAAAATAATGAATATGTGTATATGTGTATGTTTGTACTCATGGGTGGACTTATGAAATCTCTAGCTCTCACGGTTTACAACCCACTCGTAAGGGAAACGAAGTCGACTTAAAAATTGTTTAGCTCTAAATTAATCATGTAATCCTCTAACTTATGAAACGTTATGTAACCGATAGCATTAACACGGGAATAGCTATTGATGCTATTAAAATTGGCTAGGCAATGTGAAATGAAGCAACACCGAAACTTCACTGTTCGAAATAAGTGGAAAAGTGCGGATAATTCATGTACAACTCAATTGTATTTCGATTCATAGAAAATGCAAGAACTCACTTGATTGTGTGTGTGCACTAATTGCCCCTACCTTCCAAGCGACTAAACGGATCTCAATTGAATCTTATAGTATATATCGAATATTTCTAAAAACTTTGGATAATGAATGCAAACTTGTTAATTTTTATACGACTCAGTTACATACGTATATGATGATGTCAAAACCAATATACCCGGACTCACCATTGGCTTAGGGTATTCAGAAGATTCTAACATCGCCAGGCATAAATTCCACACGCGAATCACCTCTGCCATCGTTAGTTCATTGCTTGTAGCAGCTGAGAGTTCAAATACAATACAAATTTCAGTTGCGATTAATAAAGTAATATAATTTGGAATTTAAATAGATCTAATACTACATGCACGGGGTAGCGTGTTCGTCCCACCAGGTTTGTTTCTGGTGCCCTTGGTCGAGTATTCTGTACTCCATTAGGACAATCTCCGTTTCATCTCAGGGAAATAGTTTTTTAGTTGATTATTTGCGGCTATTCGTAGTTGTCGTAGTATTTTATAGTATAACTTGACTAAAAGCCCGAATATGAGAGTAACGCTAAATTTGGGATTTTAGCTATATTAAATATAGTACTTTATATGTACCTCTATGAATAGATGATCATCCAAACTTTAATTTTTAATTTAAATTAATTTTCTATTGTATTCAATTTATGTTATAAAATCGGATTATTAATTAACGTCAAAGTAAGTAACAGGCTTAAACATATAATCAGTTTAGCGTCCTTTTTCATATTCGATACTTTTCCGCCACGAAACTTGCATTTGCAAGGCGCTGCACAATATCTACACTGATGATGGATGCCTTTTACAATGACACTTCTACGAGTACCTAACACGCCACAGGTTTTGTCTTTGGTAGCAGAACACACAGTACTGAAAATCGGCCCTAAATAAAATATAATATTATAATACATTATATAGAATCACAATCAGAATTTGAATGCGTAGACAAAAGCCAAGTTACCAGATACTTTTTTACCGGGCAATAAGCATTTCTTATAACTTCGATCTGGTTTCTCATTTGGTTGTAAATCCACTATACTATCTTCATTATGTCCAGCGTTCAAAAGATCTCTGCTAACATTGCAATTATATAAATAGTGTCGACAGTCAATACATCGGAGGTTTGCTCCTCCTACATCTGTAAGATTTAGTTTTGTTAGTCATTCAATAGATTAAATGATTTATTATATATATGAGCACCGGTGCTTACATGGAATTAAATACAGAAGAGCACATCTTAAATACATAAATACAGAAATTTTGAGTGCATTCATTTTTCAAAGGAGTCAGAACTGATTTTTTTTTTTATATCGAACTCATTCTCTTGTTGGAAACATATAACACTGTTTGCTTCGATTTGTATATTTTTTTTTATATCTTTCAACGAAAATATTTCAATTGAAGATAGTCTTAAATTGCTGTTTCTGTCTTTCAATATCGATTTGCGACAAGATTTTCTTAATTGAGTGCCCCCGAATGTCATTAAATTCCATATTCACGTCGATCTATAGATAATTTGCATTCCTGAAAGCGCTTTCCGAAATCAAAGCCAGCCGAAGGACTCTAACTCGGACTCTGACTCTGATTGTGTGTGCATGCATTTAGCCAAAATTCTAAAATGGCAAAATTGATACAAGTTTGCTCAAATGGAAACAAGAAATGGAAAATCGCACGACATGAGAGAAGGAGGAACGAATATTAACAAAAGAGAAACTAAAATACAATGGCATGAACGAAAAGTCCTCAGGATGTCAGCAAATCTCTGCTCAGATAAAGCTCTTTTTGAGTCAATTATAAAGTCAGCCGACTTTAAGGATCAGAGAGTGTTAATTTAGTGCGTCCAATAGAAAGCTAAGAGCGAGTGTTACGTAGTGATAAGGCGCAATCTGTAGCTCTAAATTGAATGCTATTCTTATTACTTCTGTGTATTCTTAAATAGTTACGTAATAGCCATTAGTCCGAAATTATTATTCATGGAGCAGCTCTCACGCCTAACTCCTTTTGTAAAAATGTAAATGGAAGTCCGAGTTTATCTGGGCTTAAATGGCATTCAGTCTTTTGTTACTCGACTACTTCCTTGTTATTTTCGACTAGAGTAGACACAAACCTGTGCATCAAATAAGACCAGCCAATTTATTTTCCATAACAACTGCAACAACGAATTCAAAAACAAAACAAAATAAATAAAATGGGAAAAAAGAAGAAGAAAAGAACACGAAATATACAAATTTGTTATGCGACGGCTGCTGCTGCTGCTGCTGCTGCTGCTGCTATTGCCCTTCAAACAATACAACTACAATGAGAAATTGGAGAAACTGCGCGACTATGCGATACCCTGTACATAATATTGGCTATTGAAAGGGAAATGGCGAGAATGAAAATAAACCAGATCTGAAGAAACTTGAAGGCGAATAGACATAGCTGATGCTAGCAGATGTTTGCAAAAATCGATATGCCATCTTGGTCTATTTGCTGGGCCTAGAGGGTGTAGCAAGGACAGCAGCCCTGCCCAAATTGGCACAACAGCAAGTCAACGCGCCAGACGCGACTCACCGACTCCCAGACTCCCCAACTCCCCGACTGCTTTTCCCCATTTTATTCGATGGCAGCCTGTTACCGAGCCCCGCCTCCATTTGTGCGCCCACTTTCTAGAGATTGGCCCGATTTGGATGTACATTTCATTCATGTGGCATGTCCATTGTTCACAACCAGCGCCTACTCTCCATCCCTGCCTGCAATATTGTATAACAGGCACGAACAACAAGTAGGCCCTCGGACTCAGACACAATCAGAAAATGTCGACCCATGCAAATTTTTGTTGGACTCTCCTCTCTTTGTCTCGCTTCTCTTCCGTTTCCCCCACTATGGAAATGCAGATGATAAATTTTCCTCTAATATTTGTATGCCCATTCTCGGAGTAAACGGAGAATATTGGTTTTTGTGTAATGCTCGTCCTTAAAATATATTTTCGCGTCTTCTCCTAAGACTACAAATACATTATTAAATATGAAGGGTTTTAATAATGTATTTGTAGTCTTATGTTATGTCTTAAGCTCCATTGATGCTAGAGAAATTGGAAAAATATAATACTTACTCGTTTTGGGAATCCAAGAACCAAAAGATATAGAATATATGTACGCCAAAAGGGGGCGTATAAGATCTTAGACCTGCCCTATTGATTTGCCCCAAATATATAAACACATAGCGGTATATATAGGATATATGGGGAATGAGTATTCTGCAGTTGTAAGTAACTTACGCTCTCCTTTGCTTTCCTTCTTTGCCTGTTAGTTGGTACGTTGAAATATTGAAATTAATGTCAATTTTCTCATTTTCTCACGCTTTTTGGGTTAGGAGCGAAGCAGATGAATTGACGTGTGTTGTTATTGAGGTTGAGCTGTTTTGATAATGAAATATGCCAACGTCATTCCGTCTATGAACCAATAAAATAATTGGCTCACTTGGACAATTTACATTTCGTAGATGGAGATAAAGAAGGAAATGAGAACAGTCAACAATTAAAGTCTTGAAAATATTGCTATTCGAAGCTTGGATTGAGATTTCTGTTGAAAGTTTAATAAATGAAAAATACAAAACTTAACATCCAATTTAACATATCAAATGCATGCATGTTTGGATACACTTGTTTTTGAAGGGCAAAAGGGGATATTGACTTTGTACAATATCCATCTTCCGTCCGTTGTCCCTCTGTAAATCCGCCGGTTTCCCTACATTTACTATATAAAACGCGTGTTTTTTGAGTGCAACCATAAAATGACTGAAGAATTCTTGTTTTGAATGAATGATCTAGGGCTTTTAAAAATACGCATTTATCTTTGTTAGCTGCTCTGCTTAAGATTTGATTGATTTCATTATAATATCGTAATTTTGTTTGATTAAGAAATTGGGTAATACGAAAATATTTATTCATTTTAAAAAATATATATTTAATTTTAATATAATTTTATTTATTTTAATTAATATAAAGTTTTGACCATTTTTAGTATAAACTATTTTTATTATTGATTTGAAATACATATAGCTCGTGGGGCATTTATAGAATTCATACATACATGTATTTGTGACATACATATTTATGAGGCATAAACTGTTTAAATATTTGTATTCAGCAAATGACTCGCTCAAGAATGGCTGCTTCAGTCCGTGAGTCCTCACATATTTATCAGCCACGTGTTGCGACAAAAACATGCAAATATTCAACCAAACATTGAGTTAGTTAGTTAACTGTCTTCGAAGACAGCTGTATGTATAGCTTCAATTGGCTTCAGATTAAATTTATATTGTTTGTTTACTTAATAATCTAATACTAATAGAGTATTACGAAGTCGTTAGTTTTTACGCAAAATTGTTTGTGTAGCAATAAGAAGAAACTTTTCTAATTGACTTTAAATTATGTCACGACATTGCTGCAAAGTGGATGAATTAAATAAATAGAAAACACAGCCGTGGGCCGTGCTGAAAGGAATCCAAGGATGGCTCACACAGACGCACAGCTCTACGAAATGCGCAGTTAACTGTACATGAAAATAGAAAAATAGAAAAATTAACGAAGAAAGGAAAAGTGCGAAGCACTTTTTGCGGAAATTGTTGGTTTGTAATTTGAATTTGCGCCATTTGCATTCAATGTGTAGGCCGGGCCCTAAATGAGACACAATGAATGTGTCCTGTACACCAATACGAATATACCTACACAAGCATGCGTATATATCTATATATGTGTGTGTGTGTGTGTGTTAGCCTTTGTAACGGTCCTCGGGCGTTGGGTCTATACACGCACAGGCAAGAGCAACGCGCGTCTAAAATCGGAAACGGATGTCGGCAAGTGTAGACATATTTTCTTAGCAACTTTGCGCAACACCCAACACCCAGCGCCGCCCCATCCCTGCACGCACATTACCGCTCCATGCTCCCGTCTCGTTCTCGCATTTATGCTGCGCCCTGTCCCATCTCCCATCCCATCTCATTCCAGGCTGGCGCCCAACTAGTTTGCGACTTGCTGGCCAAAAGTTTTCTTGTAACGGCAAGTCAATGAGCGGTAGCTTTTCTTAAGGTACTGTCAGGGCCTATGAGCTAGGGGGATCGGGGAAGGGGCAGGGGCGAAGGCGGTTGGTTGGCGGGGAGGTAAACTTTGTTTACTGCTTGCTTTACGAGCTACGGCCAGCTATGCGAAAATGGAGTAGCTTGACTTTTACTTCGCATTTTGATTCTTTAGGGTCGAGCAGTGTATAAAGAGGCGTCGTTTGAGGAGGGGGCGGGTGGGCAGGAAGGGACGAGTGTTGGTTATGCGGCCTGCAATTGAAGATGATTTCACTATAAATAGTTAAAGTTATGTTAATATTTTTCTCAACACGTTAAATTATTACATATGAAAGGGGAATGGAAAGTAATTGAAAGAACAAAATACATTCGATTGTTTTTGTCTTTATATATATATGAACAGAAACCTTAATTATAGATTATCAACGGACTTCTCATTATTTTCAATAATTCAAATTCGTGACTTTAGAAATAATGAAATGAGTAAGCAGTGAAGAGAGAAACTAAGTTGATACAGGCGACATTTGCAACTAGACTGGGACTAGTTCACAGCTCAATGGAAACCTTGTTTAGTAGATGCTTTTATTACACAATCCCTCAAGATGTGATCAGAGTGCGCAAGTTAAACGAATAGAGCTGGGTCATGCTTTATCCACTAGATGGCTACGAATCTGCTTTATTAGCAGCCGTAGAATACGGCTCACACTCGAAAGACAATAAATTCTGGACATAAATATGAACAGCAACTAGTTAACAGGTAGTAAGGAAGTGGGCTACTCCCTGTACTGGTTAGGGTGGTACAACACAATAAAGAAAGCGTACGTAAAACCAAATGGCGTATCATTAATGTGGCTTTGCCTCCGGAGTCCGGACCCAAGAACTTGACTCTCACACGCACAACAACCACACACAGAGCTCATATCTAGAGTTTTATAGGTATATGTACATATGTTATCTCAGGTATAGTACAATGCGTGCGTTTAATATACCGTTAGTTTAATGAACATAATTAATAGTTAATACAGCCGTCCAAATCAAGTAGCAGTTGACTGAATTCTTTGTCGTAATAAACTAGCAACCGACTCAACCATGACACGGACGAAAAACAGCTCGTATATCTTTGGCGGACTCTCGTTATTCCTCCTTTGAGGGGTGGGCGAGGCTGGTATGTCGAGCACAAGTGTCACATTTCTTCAATTACTTGATAAAGTTGACCAATTTGACTTTTGTTTCTTTTATAATAAAACATATTGTGCGGGATTCTTTCACTGTCAAGACTATCTTGATATATAAATCAGAAATTAAAGAACTGAAGTCTTGGTTATATTATTGTATAAATTTTTGTGATTTCCTATTAAAAATGGGAAAACCAGCATAATGGCTTTGTTAAAATGTATGTAACAGGCAGAAGGACAACTTGATTGGAGTTAGCCCTGCCTGTCTGCCCACATGTATGAACGTGTTGATCTTAAACCCTATCAAAGCTAGAGACTTGATTTTGTAGGTCCCTATATAGCAGTAATAAATTTTGCCTTTAGATCAATAAGTATTTTATACCGTTTAAATATTCGTAATATTTTCTTCTTCTTATTTTTTTTATTTTTTGTTAAATATTACTGTTTTCATTTTTTGCATTAAGAAACACACAAATGCGTATATGTAAAAACTCTGATTGTTGGGGGCTCCGCTCCGATTTTCTAGTCGTGCATCCGGACTAGAGTCTTCTTAATTTTAAATCATTTTTCTTTCAAAGAAAAGTTTATCCATTACATAAATTTATTATATGTATGTATATATGTATATATATATAATTAGCTAAATATATGCAATATGCAAGATAGCTTACAGTATTCAGACTATGAAATGTTTGTCTGGCAATTATTTCTCATTCCCTTTCGAGCCAAAACCGCTACATGCTGCGGTTATTGCAATTATTTTAAAATTTCGCTCACATTTACGTTTACGTTTGCTTTTCCATATTTATTATAACGCAGATTTGTCGTTATGCTAATTAAAGTTAGCCAACATCAAGTGCAAAATACGTTTAGAATAAGTGTGTGAAAATGTGTGTAACAAGCAGAATGAGACGTGACAGACCCCATAAAGTGTATATATTCTTGATGAGGGTCCGTCTGACCACCTGAACGTAAACCACAAAATCTAAGGACTTGAAATTTTACATATAAACTCTTGTATACCATAGTCAGAGTTTTTCATTAATCGATAATCGTAATCGATAATTCTATATTGGAGCTAGAGACAAAATATTGTATGTTAGTTATATTTGGATGTTTCTTAAATTAATAAAAAATTTGTATAATGTATTTGTATATATTTATAGCATATTTAAAAATGCATTTACTGATGTATATACGTATATATAAAAGAACATATCTTGAAGGATTCGAGCGTTTGATGCCAAATTTCAACTGAAATTCCCATGGTGTGCAAGTCAAATTGAAAAGTTGCAGCTCGTTTCACATACACAATTGCCAATCATTCAGCGTATAACGAAATGAAAGCAGAGCCAGCGTGGAGGAATATATTCTGTATTTCCCGTATTCACAGAATCGAATACGCAAAATTTCATTTCCGTTTTTCCCGGCACATCCACATGCAACTGAAAACTTGTGCAAACGGTTGCAAAATGCACGTCACGCCAATGAGAGGGACGGCCACAATATAGATGGATAGAGAAGAGAGCTTCCCCTCTCCAGCTAATCAACACATCTTCTTTTGGGTTGCATTTAAGAGCCACTTAGTCGCAACTGAATTCCCATTTCCAGTCACTTCCAGTCGCCCATCTGATGAGCTGCCGTGCAGTGGTTTGCCCCACTTGATATGAAGGTCAATAGAAAATGGCATCGCTGCTTAATGTAATGCACATTGGCATTATCCCCTGTCCTTATCCCACTCTTCTATCCCTCTCTACTACACTACAGCAAACCTCTTCTACTCAGCAAATCAGCGCTTTTCCGAAATTTTCCGTACACTAGAAAAAAACAGTTAAATGCTTTTCGCGATTTGTGAAACTTTTTCGCACTTGTTTTGCTGTACAGAAAAACGCCAACAAAGTCATCATTGGAAAACTTTTCAACAATGACGGCGGTGTGAATGGTCTCATTTTAGACTAAACAATAAAACGAATCAAATATAAAACTAAACCAGTTCAATTACAGTTTGGAGACTGTAATTTGATAGATGATTTTTGATAAAGCTTAGAGTTGATAACACTAAATCGGAAATATTTATTTATAAACACACTATAATAGCCAAGGCTATTATACCTCGCTTGCCCACTTTCAATGGGTTCAGAGTATATTATAACCCATATCACTCGTGGTTCAAGGGAACATCCAGCGGGGACACCTCGAATAGAGCTCAATTTTATATCTTAGCAGCATCAAATCAATCTTCAATTCTATGTGTGTGAAATATGATGTGTTCGAATATCAGAGTGTATTATCCTCTGATCAGTTGTTCTGTGTCTGTGTGTAATATGGTTGCCATAGTTAGTTAAGCCCATCGATAATATGATGAGCTTGAAGAAAGACCCAATCGCACACACTATGTACATATGCATATAAAATTGATATATATGTATATAGTATATACGTTAGTTTCCAAATATTTCCCCAGTTGTTGACGCAGCTTTGTTTGTCGAAGCAAGTTCTAACATTTGATATCCTTGACTGGGCTTTGGCTTTGAGCTTTGCTTCTAAATTGTATCCTTGTGCCGTTAATTAAAATGCACACACATACATATGTATATTAAATATACATATATACAACTCTCCCATTCTCTCTCTCTCTCTTTCTCTCTCTCTCTCTTTCTCTCTCTCTCTCTCTCTCTCTCTCTCTCTCTCTCTCTCTCTCTCTTTCTCTCTCTCTCTCTCTCTCTCTCTCTCTCTCTCTCTCTCTCTCTCTCTCTCTTTCTCTCTCTCTCTCTTTCTCTCTCTCTCTCTCTCTCTTTATCGGCTAGAGTTTGGACTGGCATTAAGGAGATCCCATAGCAGTTTGCGTTTTATCTATGAAAAGTCTGGCGCGGTGCCTGGTTTGTGTTTATGTGCTTATATGCACACAAACCACACGTATACGCACAGGTGTACATACACACATACACAGACATGCATACATAAAAATCACTTTGGTCGCATTAACTTGACAATCACCTTAACGCAGTGCAACAGGCAAAACTTGTTTGAGTTTGTATAAATATGCAAATATATGTATACACGCATACGTGTGTGTGTGTTTGATGTCTACTAATCCACTTGCTTAAATTTTAATCAGCTCTGTAATTAGTAAGTTAGTCGAAGCTGCTGCTTCTTCCTCTAATGTCTACATCTGTGTAAAACATTTTGACATTTACCTATGCATCTTGCTCTGCTCTCATTGCAATTGCTTTTGAAGTAATTTGTATTCATTTTACAACAGGGGACAGATAAGAGTGAACTAGTTCCAGAAACTGGACTGCTAGAAGCTACCCTGTGTTACTAAGTGATATGGACACAGCATTTTCACAAATGCTATTTAATAATATAATATATATTTATTTTACACTTTTCGTATGAATCAACGTATTATATTTATATATGCAAAATATAATGTTTACAAAAACATTTAATTATTGAAAAATTGATATTTGCTGCTCTTAGAATAACAGTTCCCAACTAAATTTGATGTCGAATTTTACAGCTTATTATTTTATATATTATAATTATGACTAACTTGCACAGTAATGAAAATAATGAGATTTTATTTTACGTTCGCATAAACATCCAAGTATGTGCAAAATGTCATAATTTAATATAACATAAATGCGACCGGTTAAACAAATCAATAATTTAAAGGTTGTGTTATTTTGAATGGCATTAAGTTATTTAGTACACAATATTTGAATACAATTTGTGCCCCTGCAGAGAACGTATCAAATTGCAAAATGGTAATCAAAATAATAAACGAAGCCAACAAATTGATGCCCAAAAGGAATAAAAAGCAATCAATGAAAAATGCAGAGCAGATGAGGCTCCAAAGATTGGCATAAATAAAAACAAAAACAATCCTGATAAACACAAAATCTAATGATCAATAAACAAAATTCAGCTGGCTGTTTGTGTGGGGGAGGGGGGTGATTAGTGGTGATGTTGATCACTTTTCGAGTTGTTTTTCTGCTTTTATAAGAATATGAGATGCACTTTAAAAATACATTGAATACATTTTCGTTATACAGTCGACTCTTGTTATTTCAAACCTGCGTTATTTCGAACCTCTCATTAATTCAAAGTTATCACTCAGTAATTCGAACTAAAAATCATTGCTAAGACGCGGTAATTCGTACTCATGTGGTTAAACACTCGACAATTCGAAATAATTAAAGAGTCCCTTGAATTTCGAAATAACGAGAGTCGACTGTATTTGTTGTTCTTGTTGTAAGGTATAACCCTAACCCATAGACTTTATTATTAAATACACGCGGTGTGAACTTAATTTAATTGACAGCTAAGTAGCTTAGCGTCTGGGGTCACAGAAGTCAGCGGGAGACACCGGGAGAGATTTAATTAGTCACAGAATCGTTTTCATGATTTGTTAGAAGCCACTTCCAGCTTGAGATATTGCATTTCATAGAGTATCTTGCTTCTAAAGGTTATTAAGGTTTAGCTATAATGTAATATAGTAAACATAAAACAAATTCAGGTAGAGTCAATGAACGTGTAATACTCGGTTACTCTCAAAAATTGTTGGAACTAGATAATATTTTCCACGGCTCTCTTTTCATTTAGAATATTTTGGGCTGAGCTGCACAATTATGGAAGCTGTATTGGGGTATTGAGGGTGAAGAGTATGTGCACTTATAAGTATGCACATATATATATAAGCTTTAGTATTTTCCAATTTGCAGACGGACATAAATAAATAATCCTTTTCATTTAAGCAGAATTCAATAACAGCCTAATATATTTGGCATATGAAATACATTTTTAATTTAATTGTCCTTCTCTAATATAAATATTTTCTTTTTATCTTTTCAGTGATAACTATCGAGAGTGTCTACCGCATTTGCTAAGCATTTGTTTGAGGTTAGTAATTGAAATCAAATAAATTCTATAAAATTATTTAAGCAGAGATAATTAAAATTGTGAGCCTGCAGAGAATTGTTTGTTGAATTGTTTGTTTAGTCAGGCAGTAGAAATGGGCTTACCAGCAACAATATTTCATAATTTGCAATATATTTATTCAATTTGATTTTTCGCCTGAACCATCCCACACCCTCTGTCCATGCTGCTGCCTCGCCCATTGGTCCATCGGTCTATTTGTTGCTTAAATAACAAGAACAGAATCAAAAGCAACAACAACAACATCAGCAGCAACAGCAATAGCATAAGCAGTAGTGATTGCTGTTGTTGTTGTTATTGACACAATTGGTCATCAATTTATTATGCCAACGGCTTTTCAGTTATTTCTGTATTTATACTCATTCACGAATGTGGAATGAGTATATTGGTTTCTGCAATGCCCATCTTTCTACGTGTATGATGATAGAGACTCTCACTCCATCGCTTCCATATGCATATATTCCCCTAATAGGGCATAATCAGTACGAAAATATTGAAGATATTTATTATTCTATATTTCACCTTTGGTCAGTAAATTTCTTAAGCGTCGTCATTCACCGTCGAATTCGAATTGCATTTTAGATCTATATCTAGCTATATGTCAGCTAATCATGTATAGGAGAGTAATCCCATTTTGCAACAGAATCAAAAATTCGTTCACTCTTTTTCATTTGCTTAGTGAAATTGTTTTCATTGTTCGGATACTTTTACGCGAATAGTTGTAATACATTGCCTAGGTAGAGAAAAAATAAAAATAAAATAAAATAAACGTTTTCAACACATAATCTAAATATTTCGTTTCTCTCTCTCTCTCTTTCTTTTTCACTTGCTCATTCTCTTTCTCTTTCTCTCTTTCTGCGTTATCGCTTAGTTGCATTTCATTTCATTTCATTTGTGTGTTGGTTTGGAATTTGGCGCACAGTAAAATATTTCATTATCAGCTCTTCACTGTGCTCAGAATTCGGACCGCAAATTTATAGGAAAACATGTACGACATGACCTCTCAACCGAAAGCCATTAGAAACACTCACGTATCCTTTTCAAATACAGACGCACACGCACACACATACTTACACAGGGCATAGCGGACACTCACGCACACCTGTGCCAGGCCCAGAAATGTGGGCTGTGGGCTGTGAGCTGTTGGTTGTGTACGAAAAGCAATTTTCCAATTTTCCTGAGCGCACAACATAACGCAAGCATATCAGTTGATTCTCTTCTTCGTATTTCTGTCTCGCTCATTCGGTGTGCATGTGTGTGTGTGTGTGGGGGATATTTTTTTGCGCTACTTATTCTTCCAGCTATTTGGCTTCTGACAATGGCTCGACTTTATAAGCACCTTAGAAATCAGTTGGGTAGAAGCGAAACAAGTAAACAAGTTGATAAGCTGTTGCCTAGACGACTACCAGATGCTCTATGATAAGGTCAATGCTGTAAGATAAATTATGTAAACGAAAAACTTTGTAATTTTAATAATTTCCAATAGTTATTTAAATTATGCGAATTGAGGTAGACTAGTTAAGACTCGAGATATATGTAATTAGTTATAGATATAATGTTGATAATGATAACTTAATAATGCTAGCAGCGCACGTAGTCAACTGCATAGCTTTTTTAACATATCGCCATATTTCCGGGAAAGTATCGTTAGAAAACGTCTGTCTCACATACTGCAAAAAATAACAGCTGAATTCAGTCTATTTATGAGTTATCGATTTTAAGAGATAAACTGGCGTTTCTATGCTGATCTATGTCAGTTGTTGCCTGCATTATCTAACCATTAACCATGCTCCTTCCATATAGGGTATTCAAAATTTACATGCTGTTTGTCGCATTTTCATTTTCAATTCGACCTTCAACGCCAAGCCAAGCTGGTTTCTCTTTTATTTTTGTTTTTCCTCTTCGTTTTCCTGTGACACATCTACTTATGGCGAAAACCCTGTCAAATAAACGAGCGAAAACAAATGAGATTTCCAATTGCTGTTATGCCAAGAAGTGGCTTTTCGCAAAATATTCTTGACTTGTAACCCAAGTCAAATGCCTCAATAATATATTTATGAATTATGCATAAGGCAATCTACATCTGCTGCGAGTAGACTAGATGTGTTTACTACGCTTTGAGATAGATTCAATTGATATATCGTGCATTACCCAGAATTGAAAGCTCAAAAATTTGATAATGACTTAGAAATCATCGTCTTACGACTCATCCATCTTAGCTTAAAGCTTTTAAGACTTCGATACATGCAATTAGAACTCAAATTTAATTTAGCTAAAAGTTATTGTCCTCATCAAAATTTGAAGTGAACCATTACGAAATGGCAAAGCGGTGCCCACAGCTGAAAACAATATTTACGGACAGTCATCTTGAAATGTGGAGCTGTAGAAGAGATAGCCATAGTAACTCCATCACATAAATTAATGCCCCCAAACTGCAAGCGGGCAATTTTACAATTGCAAAGCGCAAATAGACGCAGCACTCGACAATCAAAGTGGTTTTTCCGCTTTGTACTCGTAGACAAATGGATCGGGTAGGCAAGAAGGGGGACATATGTATATACATATACATACATACATACATATATATAGGAGTATTGCCGCCAAACTGTTGTAAAAACAAAAACAAAAAGTGGAAGAAGAGCAATGAGAGAAAAACTTGACTAGTCGTCGTCGTCGTCGTCGTCGTCATCCTCAATGCCTGCGTTTTCATGCTGTTATAGAAAGCCGAAAGTCCGTGGCATGTTTTGCCGTTGTTGGCATTAAAAGTTGAAGCAACAAGAACAACAGCAACAACAATAACAACAACAATTGCAACACGAACAGCAACAACTAGCCAGAAAAGAAACCATTTGGAAAATATAATCAAATTTCTGCCTCTCACTCACTCAGAAGTACTTCAGCAGTGGCTTGGGCTTCTGGCTTCTGGCATCGGGCTTCATGTAAATTATTACATATTCCATGCATATTTATAACGTTAACTTTGTTTTTTTTTTACTGTGGGCTTTCGCTACCCTGTAAATGAGTCAACAATAGTAGTTGAGATAGTAATAAGATGTTCAACGAAAATGAGTATATAAAAAGTTTTTCAAACTAACTTTATAGATCCTCTATTTTCAACAGTTAATTGGGGACTAGCTTAGAGCCAACTTTATATCTTGATAATAATATATTTTGATCTGATCGGATTCTGATCGATATTTAGGGACTTCAATCCGTTCATTCTAGCCTTATTTCTAGCTTCATCTCGATTAAAAGAAATATTAAATATTAGTTTTATTTGAATTCATATACATATACATATGTGTAACAGATATTGAGCGACAGTCAAGTGCTTGAAAGCTTGAAAGCTCTAAAGAAATATTAATAGAGGAATTTGTATATATATGTGTAGTTCAGGAAAAACAAAGTTTTCACTATAATATTAGAGACTAGTTGACTCTAGTCATGAAACGGAATGAATTAAAAAAGATATATAAATATCTAGTTTAGCGTAGCATGTCCAGCCTTATATACGTTAACATGGCAAGTGCATTCGCTATTGCGCTAACTGATTTTTACACTTATTTTCGAAAGGGAAGAGCATATTGGTTTGCTGCAATGTCCTCCAATGTGCAATGAGCAGATGCAGGGCAGATGCATGAACTATCCATTGAAGAGCTCCAATATGGATAATTAATTGATTGCAGGCTCCAGCTTGGCTTCCTTAACCCACAACTTGCAACTGTTTGTAGACCGTGAATGAGTGTTATACAGTCGGTAGCGACCCACTGCAACAATTTCTTGTTTGGTTTATTTATTTTCTTCTGCTCCACATTGGAATATCAGAAGGGCAATGGGGCAAGGGAACTAAACTCAAATGGCATTGAAAACTTTTGACTGGCCCTGTGTGTTGGCTGTCATTTGATGTAAACAAGCGATGACGTTGGAGCCAAGGCTCTAAAGCGAATTAAGGTTGCGTTTTACCTGCGCCTCGAACTTATTGCAATTAATTAACAAGCATTAACGAAACTTTGCGCACAGGTCAAACACGAAAAGGTCGCTGTTTGTCCGTCTAAATGCTTTCGAATTCGTTTCTGCTTATTATTCATTTAAAATATTTAATGCTCTCTCTCGCTCTCTCTGCTTCTATGTATAATTTGTGCTCAAGGATAACGCAGGACCCTCCGGTATGCCCAGAGTTAGAAACTTCGAATCCCGTTATACAATACGCAGGCAATTAAATTACACAAAGCTTTTCGGGCACGAAAAGGTCTCAAGTATGAAAAAATAAAAATGGCAGCTACTGAAAATTTACAGTTGAAGGCATTTTAGGGTTGCCCCACGCACACTGCTGTAAGAATATTTGATATATATATGTATGTATGAATGTGTATGTATATATAAATGTGTGTGTGTGTGTGGATTACAGTGTTGATGCGCTTTGTGGCAACTGTGTGCGGACGCATGTAGCATGAATGATATACGGCCCGTGCTTGAGACTTGTGAAAGCTTTTTCAATTGAGATGCTAACTGGTTTGAACAAACGAGTTTCTTTGTCTCTTTTTCGCTATACTTATCATTATTAATAGATGTGCTTTGTAGATGAGACATGAACTGAGGTGACACACATGATATTATGACAATCACTGTAAAGCAAGCCCCTCTGTCCCCCCTTCAAGTTCTCAACTGTTGAAACTGTCATGCGAAAATTTTAAGCAGCATTTCTATGTGACATATTTAGGAATTTGGCACCAAGTACAAGGATGGGAATAAAAAACCAAAACAAAAGTGGGTAGAGAGAGAGGGAAACTGGCAAAGAGAGTGAGATGGACCCAGAAATAAAATTGAAAACAACTGGCGAAGGAAAAGTCTATATAAGAAATGTTAGAGTGGTAGAGAGAGAAATTGGAAGGGAAGAGAGAGAATCAGTCGAAAAGCGAGAAAGATTGAGAAGAGAAAACTGAGAGAGATATTTGTTTGTCGCA